GAAAATCTCAGGCTCTCCGTGAACATGGTGCTTTGAAAGAATGCTCTAGAACAGAACAGGCTAGTTTGGGCAGAATGTACAAGTCAGTATGTACATGTTGCCGATCCTGTGTGTTCATTGGTTTTTGTCTGGGTGTTCCGTCAGGTCAAGTTTCCAGAGGTAGGATGAAACTGACTACAGCTGAAGACTTGCCGGTGTCCTTAAAGGGACCAGCTGAGGAGATGCAAGTAACAGGAAGGTGTGGGGGAAATGCAGAAAGAGAGGCAGAGGGCGGGTGCCATCGGTGCCCTTGAGGAGCCCACAGATGTGCTGCTGGGGACAGGGGCGCTACGACAGTTGGGTGTCAACCACAGCCTGTCTTTATGTCAGACAAGAAAGCAGTAGCCACCACCGAGGAGGGCACCAGACCCACTGCCCTGAAGGGAAGGGCAGGGGTCCCTGGCTCATCAGGGAATGGCCATTAGCCATGGCCACCATGCAGCAGGACTACCCTGCCACTATCCCCAGTTTGCCTGTCCCTGCTCCTGCAATGGAGGGCCACAGAAGGTGGACCACAGACCCCAACATGACCAGTAAGTTATGGACGTGGCCTGGGCCGATGTTGAAGGATGCTGCACGCATAAGGAGAACCAGGATGGAGCACAGTCCCGTGAGCTCCAGTTACACACCTAGGCTGGCCACGGTGACACACATACACAGTGCTTGACTGCATGATGTAGGAACATGGGTGCATTCAACTTGGTTTAATTTTAAGATGTATTTATTATCACTTCTTGGCCTTTTGGCTAAGATCAAGATGTATTTATTTATTTGAAAGTCAGGGTTACAGAAAAAATGGAGAGAAAGAGAAAGAGAGAGAGAGAGAGAGAGAGAGAGAGAGAGAGAGACTTTGCATCTGCTGGTTCATTCCCCAGCTGTCCTCAAAGGCCAGGACTGGACTAAACCCAAGCAGGAGTCAGGAGCTTTGTCCAGGTCTCCCACCCAGGTTTGCAGGGGCCCAAACACTTGGGCCATCTTCCGCTGCTTTTCCCAGGCCATTAGAAGGAAGCTGAGTCAGAGCTGGAGCAGCCGAGACTCAAACAGGTGCCCATACAGGGTGCTGGTTCTGCAGGCAGTGACTTTACCTGCTACAACACAATGCTGGCCTATATCTTCTTTTTTTATAATCAAATATTCTACAACTACTACATATTTATTTCAGAATACAATTGTGATTTTTAAGGTAAAGTCTGAAACTTATGGTAACTTTCACATGGGAAAAATATTATCTACTTGCTGTTACTCTAAATGGTATGATGGCCTAAAGAGGAAGCATGGTGAAAAAATTATGAAGTACAAAAACTATAACATTTTCCTATCAAGTTTACATGTTTCAATTCTGACATTAATTAACGAAATTGTGTCCAACAATGAGCCTGCCTGCTTCTAATACTGAATGAAGGGACCTCTGCTGTGGCATAGTGGGTGAAGCTACCACCTGCAGTTCCAGCATCCCATATAGGCCCTGGTTCAAGTCCTGGCTGCTCCACTTCCGATGCAGCTCTCTGCTATGGCCTGGGAAAGCAGTGAAAGATGGCCCAAGCCCTTGGGCCCCTGCACCTGCGTGGGAGACCTGGAAGAAGCTCCTGACTCCTGGCTTCGGATTGGCCCAGCTCCGGCCGTTGCAGCCATCTGGGGAGTGAACCAGCGGATGGAAAACCTCTCTCTCTCTTTTTCTGCCTCTCCTTCTCTCTGTGTAAATCTGACTTTCAAATAAATAAATAAATCTTCAAAAATACTGAGTGAAGTGTAGTTATACAGATGATAATGAGGGAGAAATAAAATGCCTACAAAGTCACTCACATAGGGTGGGCTCATACACGTGGGCAGAAATGAGAGACTCAGTCCCACTGGCTGAGCTCACTCCAGTTGGCATTGTGCACTGAATGCCGGGGCAGGTTGAGGCTCGTGGATGCTCTAGCCAAAAGTGGTGACACAGCCTGGATTAGCAGAGTGCCTCGTACCTCCCCTAATGCATTGTGATTACAATATTAGTCGTGCCAGGAAACCTCCAATAACAAGTTTTATTATAGTTTTAGTGGCAGTAAACAAAAAAGTATGACATTTTATTTTATTTCCCCTTTGGTGTTAATTTGCTAACAAAGTAGTCGTAAATCTCCCAGATTTTCTTGCAAGGGAAACAGAAACATTTAACAAAAACGGAAAAGTGTCCCAGGACACAGTGGCATTTGTCAAAGTACTGCAAATTGCACTTAACGGCTTTCATTGTTTAAATAAAAACGTTTTCTTTAACACACATAAAACCATTCTCAAGTGTTATAGACCTCTAACAATATCAGAGATGCAGACAAACCCGTTTCTTTCAACACCTTCTACTTCACTATTCCACCCCCTTTGGTTGGCTACACAGTTAAAATCCTTATCTGATAACGAATGTGAGGCCAGCATTGTGGCAGCGGGATAGGCCCCTGGGTAAAAATGAACATTAAAATTATGATCTAACTTACTTTCATCAGGGGATTTTCCATCTCTAAAAATTGTAGTTGTATTCCTTATTTACAATTTTAAAATTGGACACCGATTTCCAGGTATTAGGCATGAATTTCTTCCCATAAAGCTGGAAATAAACATCAGATTAAGTATTTGAATGTCAATGTTCTGTTTCAGTGTTGGTTTTTTCCAAACATGTATTAACCTAACCTGTCCATGGAAAATATTTGGATGCACACCTTAGACATCAGGTGGAAGTATTATAATTTTCTCAATCAGCAAAAATATATATAACTTCTATAGAATTAATAAACTATCAGATTGAATTAACCCTTCTATGACACATGAAATTAATGAATTCCATTTTAGTCCCTGAAAACAGAATTACGGCCATGACTTGGAAAGCTCCGGGAAGGTACAGAGCTATGCACAGTGAGTGCACCTCCTAGTGCTGAAAGATCTGCAGAATCCCTGCCCTAACTGACAGCTAACCAACAGCCAATGGCAACACTTATGGGCTGTTCTTCTCATGATTGTGTTACATTATGTAAGACCTGCTGTTGCTCAAGAGAGCTGCGGGCTCTCCCTGGGGGCTCAGCTCAGCATGGGCTCTGTTGGAAAAGCCCATGAGGCATAGAACCATGTGAACAGCCTACAGCCAATAGCCAATGGGATGTTGGGGCCTTCAGTGACTCTGAGGAATTCTTCCAACAACTTAGCATCCTTGGAAACAGACTGTTCTCCAGTCTAATCTCCAGATGAGAACACTGCCTGGACAACATGTTTTGTGCAGGTGAAACGCGAGATGGAAGACACAGCTTAGCCATGCCTGAACTCTTGCCCCACTAAAACGGTGGCATGATAAATGGGTACATTTTAGCCAATGTATTTATAGCAATCTTCCATGTAGTGCAGTAATTTTCTATTGTTTCTACAAAGAAGTGACTACCAATATAAATGACTCGCAAGAGCACAGATTTATTATGATTCAGTTCTGCAGGTTCAAAGTCCAAGTAGGCATAAAAGGTCCTCACCTTGAAAATCATGGTAGTTCTATCCTGAGGCTCTGGGAGAAAATTAACCTCCTGCTGATTTATGCTGGAAGTGGAACTCATGTCTTTATAGTTACAGGACTGATGTCCCATTTTCTTGTGGGCTCTAAACCAAGGACCATTGTCAGCTTCTACAGGCTGTCCCATTTTGGGGATGTGGCCCTGTCACCCTTCACTTTCATGTGCCACACTCTCACATCACATCCCTCTAAATCACTGCTCAGCCAGCTCCTTCAGCTTCTAAGAGCTCATGTGGTTAATGATAATTAAGGAGAAGGACAATCTATATTAAGGTCCCTAATTACATCCTTACATATCCTTTTGCCATAGCAGGTCACCTGTTTATAGACCTCAGGAGTAAGGTATGGGCACATTAGGGTAGAAGGGGCCTTACTGAGCCAACTACATGCATTCAGTGAAAATTCTACATTCTTCATTAAAATTCCTGAAGTTTCTAATTTTTTTTCGTGTTAAAATGTGTTTACTCTTTGCTTCAATTTTAGTTACTTGGGCCACAACTGCCTTGTGACATTTATTGTGGGCTCATACTTTTCATTGTGAAGATTTCCTTTTCTATTAAATTTAGCAATTGCTCACTGAGACCGTTCCCTGAGTCCATGATACATAGAAAAGGAAGGCAAAGCGAGCACAAAATATGCCTTACAAAACATCCCAACCCAAATATCGCAAGGTGGTTATCATTTCTCCCACCATCAAGAAACATGTATAAAAGCTCTGGTACTTTCCAGTGAGATCATAATGAATTCTAACTAATTTCCAGACAATTTCACACAATCAAAAAGAGAGAGTGCTTTCAAAGTGAGAAGTATTAAGCACAGAATATTGTGATGGCAAATGTTTATCATCAACTTGACTGGACCATGGAACATACAGATATTTGGTCAAACATTATTCTGGCTGTGTCTGTGAGAGTGTTTTGGGGGTAAGATTAGCATTTAAATTGGTAAACCAAGAAAAGCAGATGGCCCTCCCCAGGATGGGTGGACCTCATCTAGTCATTGATGGCTTGAAAAGAACAAAAACTTACTCTGCAGTGATTACAAGGAAATTCATCTACCTCCTGCTAGTGGCCTTTGAACTGAAAGATAAGGCAACTATCTAGAAATATATACTCACATCTTGGTTTAGTTTCTCTGCTTCTATTGGTTCTGTTTCTCTGGAAGACCCTAAATGCAATCATCATCCCTTCCTTCCATCCAGTCCAACACCTATCTATCCATCTACCCACACATCCATCCATTCCCCCCAATCCAGCATCCATCCATCTATCCACCCACCTATCCACCCATCCACCCATCCATCTACCATCCATCCATCCACCCACTCACACATTTGTTCATACATCATCCATCCATGTGTCCATTCACCCACCCCACCCATCCACTCATCTATTCATCCATCTATCCACCTCTGCACCCACCCATGTACCCACCCATTCTCATCTAGCATTCACTGATACATCCATTCACTCACCCATCCATCCATCTACCCCTCTACCCACCTATCCATCCTTCTATCTACCCATATACTCACCAAGGCACCCATTCATCCATCTCCCAATTTGTTCAGTTATCCCAGAAACATTGATATTCTAGTCATTGGCTTGACTTTGGCTATTAAGTGATGATTAAAATGTGCTAGCTGCCCTGCAAATCATCTCAGAAGTATAGGGTAAACAGACTGAAGCAATGATGGAATATATGCCCTCAGAGTTGAATGGTGCACAGAGAAAGGGAACTCTAAGAGGTGATGGTTCATAGAAACCCCAAAGAGGAAGGTTCCTTAAGATCAGTCTTAAATGATGGTTAGAAGTCGGGGAGCTTGACTGAGTATCCATTCCAAGCACAGAGGCTTGAGTTATCAGATGCAAAGTGCAGAGCATGATGTCGTGTGCATGAGCCCTCAGTTCATCCCACAGATGCAATCGCAGCAGGGGCCAAAGTGCTGAAGCCATTCCTTCAAGGTAATACTGGGTGCTAGGTGGAGCCACCCTGCATCTATGTGGTGATGGAGAGTCACAGACATTTAAGAGCTGTGTGGTCAGACTTGTCTAACAGATATGCCACAACTGCGGTCAAGTAAAATATGGATCTGTGCAGTAAGAAGGGAAAACTTCCTATTGTGAGAGATGAAACTTTCAGTAAGGTATGCATGGAATGTCCCGGCATCTTTGACTTTCAGCATAATGAATTTTAATCATATGGCCATATAGCTTGCCATCTCCATATGGGGATTGTGGACCATCAAGGAGTGCGTGGATGCTGGTATACCTCAAGGGAATTGATTTCTTTGCTATCTATAGTTTATGCATGTAATTAAAATACTATTTGAAGAATAAGTAACAGCATTTTACTGAAATTCCAGAGTTCATGGCACATAAAATTAAAGTAGAGCCTTGGACTAGAAACAAGAAGACAGTATCACTTGTTTCTCCTACTGATATTATAATTGTCCCACCTTGCTCCCACTCAGGTTCTGTGAATTTGCAAGTGGGTGTACAGCTCTTTCACACAACATGATCTCCCATTCCTTCCTAAGTCCTGTGTCAAATAACCATGAATGCCAGTGAATCCTCTTCTATGAAATCATGGAGAAGCTCATGGAACAGTGGATCATGGGAAGACAATGAGTTTCAGAACAGGCAGAACAGGCGGGGGAACCCAACACTGGCCCACACGGGTAGTTAGAATCTAAAGGAGAGACTCCACTGCCCTGAAAAGTTCTTACTCTACTGCCTCTGTAAAGTTCTTACTTCTTGTATATCTGAGATTTTGTGCAGAAAGCATCATGCAGGGCACATGACAAGATCCTATGTCCAGAAACTTTACAAAAAAAAAAAAATACCACAATGTCAAAAATCCACTAGGGGTCATAATTAATGTGTGAAAATATTTAGTAGTCAAGTCACATAATTTCATGGCAATTCACCTTCCTAACAAAATCCAATTAAAAAGGGAAATAGCACTATGTTGTCACATGTTCCTTATCAATCCCATGTGAGCTGTGATCGTATTAGATCCTCCCCATGACCCAATGGCTATGGAAGATGGACACATTCAGCTTTGGTTCTTCTACAAACCTTTCATTTGCTTCCAACACATCGAGGGCTGATCCATGCTCAACATGTGAGTCAGGAGAATCGATGCAGACCAAATTCAGAGTTGCTCAACCCACGCTAGTTCTTAGGGAATAGAGTTGGGGCCACTTTAAAATATTTTCACGAATTCAAGACTCAAGTATGATGCACTGTTTGGATGAGAATTTGGGTGATTTTTGTAGTTTTGATGGAGAACACTGTGGGGAAATTGGGCACAGGAGGCAGTTCAAAGATGGCGCCTGCAGGGAAATTAGGCACACGCAGCAATTCAAAGATGGCGCCCAAAGGAAGTAAGGTGGGCGGTACCCAAAGTCGTTTTACCACCAAAGCTGATTGGCCGCGCAGCATCAGGGGAGGTGACAACTGATGAAGAGTGTACAGACATATGGCTGGTCCTGTAAAAAGCCACCCTGTAAAATGACCTTTTAAGTAATTGGTTGGTCCTTATGCCCTGCTCCAGTAATCCTGTGGTCTTGTGCTTTAAAAGGCTCTGCTACACGTGCAATAAACCGAGTTCTTGCTTGTTTGACTTGACTCCCCGCTGCGTCTGACTGTCTCCGGGATCGGGAGGCTGGGGAACGGGTGAGCTGCACACTTATCTTTCTTTGGACCCAGTCCATCCTCGTTCGGGTGGACCAAGACCTAGCAGAACACAATTTTTTTTCCTTCTTGGCTCCCTGTGGCAAAATTTATGTACTCAAATCATGATTAATTGCAACATTGGAGACCAAATATGATTACTCCAAGTCTCAGCTAACATGGGAAAAAATGAGCTGAATGAAAAGTGGTGACCATTGAATGTTCAATGGTTTTGAATTGAAAATTGTCTTTAGGTGCCATGAAATGCTCATGTTTTGATTAAGTGTGTATACCCACAAAGCAGCATCTTTATAACTTTTCTGGTAATAATTTATCTGGGATAAGAACATCTCAATAAGGTGTGCTTCATTCTCATTGTGAATTGAAGATACACATGTTCTCTTTAGCTGAACAAAATGAAATTGAATATTACACTCATTATGACAAACCTCTATCTAAGATTCCAAAGCAATTCCTTCATTCAGCCCACTGAGAAAAATTCTCTTCTGATCACAGGGAGTCATTTTTAAAAATTTGCTATGCAAGAAAAGGCACCAACTTTTAAAAGCACACAGAAAAATCAATACAAACTTGAATTAAAGGGATACCATACAATTCTCTATGCAACATCATTGTAGTTTAAATGAAGCAGTTGAGTCCAAGAGAGTCAAATACATCCATGACTTATTTTAGAAATTCAGTCTTGGGGCTGATGCTATGGCCTAGCAGGTAAAGCTGCCGTCTACAGTTCTGGCATCCCATATGGGTGCCAGTTCGAGTCCCAGCTGCTCCACTTCTGATCCAGCTCTCTACTATGGCCTGGAAAGCTGTAAATATGGCCTAAGTTCTTAGGTTCCTGCACCCACGTGGGAGACCTGGAAGAAGCTCCTGGCTCCTGGCTTCAGATGGGTACAGCTCTGGCCATTGTGGCCAATCGGGGAGTAAACCAGTAGATGGAAGACCTCTTTCTCTCTCTGCTTCTCCTCTCTCTATGTAACTGATTTTCAAATAAATAAATAAATCTTCCAAAAAAAGAAATTTAGGAGTCTTTAGAAATTTATATTACTATACATATCTTTGATTCACATGTAATAATAAGACTTCAATAAAAGCTATTTTCATCCCCACAACTAAGCTTGGGAAGTTAATTTGTGTTTTTCTCCATGGTGTTTTTGACACTGAGATGCTGTATAAGTAAGGCATTTGCTATACCCCAAAAAGGCACAGGAATTCAAACATCATCCTCACCTCCTCCCTGCTGACCCCAGGGTGGTGCCCTGCTACTCCAACCATGAGGGCCTTCACATATGCTTTATGGCTTATTGTTCAGAGTTGAAGTGATTACTGTAAGAATTAAGGGAAGTGGAATGTGCAGAATAGGTGATTCAATGTCAGACACAAAAGAAATACTGGTTGTGTTCTTTTTCTTGTAAGTTAAAAGATGTAAATCACCATACACAACAGCTGTAGAATGAAACATGAAATGGGCCTTTATTGACCTCTAATCACTGAGTTCATATACATAATTTTCTCAGGTTTATCACGTAAATATGAAAATATGAATGACTGAAACAGTTGGACAACCAGGATTATGCCCTTGGACTACTCTAGATCTCTGTAGGGTTTCCCTAACCCCCCTCGTAGTCACTGTTTAAATCCTCAGTTGAGGCTCCCAATTGCCCCGTCTGACGTGTCTAATATACATGGAAATCACAGGGAGACCAGCACATCCCCTTGCCTTGCTCAGCAGTATTTATTAAGCCAACCATAAGCACCTTGAGACGGGAAACACCTCCAGGCACACCTTGCTGACTGTACTCAGATGAGAGGTGACAAGGGCCCGTGAATGTCCCACTCATGATCTGCAATATCTCTAAGGCTTGTCTCCTGGGTAAAGGACAAAGTTTTTGTTTTTACGCCTTCATTTTTTAGAGCAAGCATATTTAGTAAGCCACTTCCAGGGCTAGTGGTTGACCAGCTGTCTGAGTGTTATTACCCTTATAATGATACAAGAAAATGAGATGTGACTGCCCAATGAATTATGTCTTTTCTTCACAATATCGTTTGGGTTTTATTCATTTTACTGAATACGCTTTGGGAAAGGAAGCATCTGGCTATTTGCTTTTCAAGAGCCCAGTTACAATGTGGCATTTTAATGATGTGCTCCAGCTTTCTGGGCGCATTTTTGGTTTCGTGTGTGTGTGTGTGTATGTGGGTGCACGCACTTTTCAATCTTAAGCATCCTCACTAGAGTAAAAGAATGTAGCTGTTGTGGAAATTTCTGAAGTGTTGTATTGGGTGAGTTTTAGCTAGGTCTTCAATAACAAATTTGTTCTTTAATGTTTAAATTTCAAATCCCTTTCATCAACATGTGCTTTCCAGACATCACTCATGGATCCCCATCCATTGCCTCCTAGTACTTGGCGGGTGCTACACATTCCTCACATTCCACAGATGCTGTAGCCCACAAGGTCTAGTGAAGAGAGGGAGGAGAACTGAACAAGTAAATACCCAAATGTGTGGATAATGGCTGTGAGAAGAGATGAGAGGGAAGAGGAAGATGGTGACAAGAGAGATGATGAATGGCAGCTCAAATACCCGGGATGTCTATGTAAAAGTGACCATACTGAGAACTGCAGCACAGAGAAATGGCGGGCCAAGCCTGGAGAGGGTTCCAAGCCTGAGGCTGCACATGGCCTCCCCATGTGAGCCTGAACATGAGATGCCCCCTCCAGGCAAGCCCCCATCATGGTTCCCAGAACCACAAACACTCTGCCCTGCCCGGACAAGAGGATCTTATTGTTGGCACAGTTAAGGCTTTGAAGATTGGGAGATAGCCAGGATTTTTTGCATTGGCTCAACATTATCAGATGATTCCTCAAAATCTGAGAACCTTTTCTGGCCATGGCCAGAGGAAGTTGCCATTCATTACAACAAATCCTTCAGAAAGATGCAAACTTGCTGGCGTTGAAGATATAGAAAGGGGGCATGGTGCAAAGGGTTGTGGGTGGCCAGCAGGTGCTGGATAAGGCCAAATGACAGATTCTGTGCTAAAAGTTTCTGGAAAGAATTAACTCTGCAGAAACCTTGTGTGGAGCCCAGAGAGGCAGGTGTCAGACTGCCAGCCCACAGAGCTGTCAGACTCTTGTCCGTGCTTGTATGTGCTTCTCAAGCTGCGGTATTTGTGGGAATTTGCCACAGCACCCACTGATAATCAACATACTTCCTTCTATCTACAACAAGGGAAACAATGAGCAAAGGAAGAATAGTCGATTTTTCCATGAGGCAAGGTATCCTCTGCCGTTCAGGAACTGCTCGGCGTCTGGAAGGCAGCAGAGAGGGGACTTGGAGAGGAAAGGGAGCTGCACGCCTTGTGACGTGTGCTTTGAGGCAGACACACAGCAGGGGTTCAGGTCCATCCTTGGCCAGACGCACAGTGAGGCTGAACGGGAGCTACAAAGGAAACTGTCAGCATTCAGCACCTAATGAAGTTCATGATCTGTGCCCATGAGGTGCTGCGGATACCTGGAAAACTAAAGCTGAACACAGCCTTTGACAACTTCCTGTTCTCTTCTCTGCGATATGTGTTTATGCAACATCAGCAAGCAAATCTACGTTCTAGGGTTTTGTTTTCTTTTCTTGGTTTCTTCTGTCCCAGAATTAGAATATTTTAACCCTTTTTACACATCTATGTAATCAAACTGACAGAACGTCACTTGATAATGTTTCAAAAATTATGGAAGATAGAAATCCATTTGAAGATCAGTTTCGCAATCCACTTTTTGATCGAGAATACTTGTCATACTTTCTATGTTATCACAATGAACAAGATGCGCTCTTCCACAACATGTGATCTAACCTTTTGAAATGTGGGTGAATCTGTGACAGCTTTCCTATTCCAGTCAGAGAAAAAGATACAACCTGACAAACTCTGAGCTGTATCATTGGATACAAGTATATGCAGGAGATGGGGGGATGAGGAATGAAAGCCCAAGTTATTTTATAAGAATCTATTTCTCATTTATTCCAAGAAGTCATTTATCGCTATTTTGTCTTCATTCTACCGAAAATTTACCTCCAGTATTTTTCTCATAACAATATTCCAAAACCTATGAGCAAATAACCTGAAAAACAGGTGGAGGATTCAGAAAGTCCATGGAAGATGCATATTTAAAAAGAAAAAAGTGGATTTCAAATTTTTTCAACCAAAATGTACATCTTTTGATTCGACATTTTCATGAAGTTTCTGAAGAACCTTCATATTTTGAAAAGAAAATCTGATTTGACAATTACTCTTTTATTTCAACTCCTTTGAAATAAATTGTTCTTAAAGGGAATTTTAGTGGAAGAAACACCTAACGTAAAGAAGTAGTTTTCAGATTTCAATGTGGTCATTCCTAAGTCAAATTCCCTTCATGTTATTTGATATTTGACTTGCACATCTAGTTTTTGAAATAGCCCATTTAAAAGGGTTCTTCATTCCTACTTATTCAAAGGTTGACTCAAACGTCACGCGGCAACAGCTGTTAAACACATCATTTAGCCTTTGCACAAGCCTGACAACTTAGAGATGCCACAAAACTAATATCCATTGAGTGTTTATTTCACATCTGCTTATTGACTTCCAAATAAAATTTCTGTAGACAACGCCATGAAGGTAGCCATTTCCATCCCGTGTTATGGATGCAGCAGTCGACAGGGCGAGTTCACCAAGGGTTCCCCGCCAGCACCTCCCTTGCAGCTCCTGTGGTGGCCCAGAGCAGACACTAGGGGCTCTGCCCTGAAGGATGTCCAGCTGCTGTGAAATGGGCAGCTCCTCAGGCCAGGAAAGAGTGTGCGTTTGCTGGAAAACTGCAGTATGAATCGAGAATGCCTGGCAACAGCAAGCCAGAATTAACAAATATTCAACGACATGAACACCTCTCACATTGACAAGTCTTCAGAAAATTAGTCCTCAATATTATTCCTGGCACAGGGCACTGAGCCAATAAGTATCCACTAAATGACTGAATGCTTTATTTTTTACCAAATTCGCCGTTCTTTCGACAAGTCTATTTTTGGCATTTTTCTTCTCCATTCTTCAAAGCAAACATAGCCTCTCCCCAGATTCACCATAAATCGCCTCTGGATCCAGACCACTCCTCCAGGTCGAAGGACTGGAAGAGGAGCTACTACGAGAAACACGCAGCAGCATACCTGGCAGGCACTGGTCATTTTATCCTCCTATTATCTGCAATAAATGTAACTGTACTCAGAAAAGCCAGGGTCTTAACGTATTTCAAGGAAATAATGCCTTTTATTTGTAGTTGACACAATGTATGTTTATTTATGGGATGTGACATCATTGGATTCCTGGCTACAATGTGTTACGAGGGAGTTAATTGTTTGTAGGCTGTTCCAAATTTCACAATTTTGAGTGATTTTGTGATCCTAGAAGCAAACTTTTTAAGTACAATATTATATCTCCATATTTCAAACACCAAGTATTTTATAGTTTAGAGTCATACAAAATGTCTTCCCTTTGAACAGATAAAAATCACAATGTTTTATATAAATCTGAGCCAAACCATCAATTTATAAAACAAGTACCTTTAAAAAACTTTTGTGCATGAAATCACATCTACATATACCTCTTTCAAATGCATATAAATATATTTCTGCATGGCCAGCACTGTGGCACAGCTGGTTAACACCCTGACCTGAAGCACCGGCATCCCATATGGGCAGGTTCTAGTCCTGGCTGCTCCACTACCCATCCAGCTCTGAGCTATGGCCTGGGAAAGCAGTGAAAGATGGCCCAAGTCCTTGGGCCCCTGCACTCATGTGGGAGACCTTGAAGAAGCTCCTGGCTCCTGGTTTCAGATTGGTGCAGCTCCAACTGTTGTGGCCATCTGGGGAGTGAACCAGCAGATGGAAGACCTCTCTCTCTCTCTCTCTCTCTCTGCCTCTCCTTCTCTGTGTGTAACTCTTTCAAGTAAATAAATAAATAAATCTTTAAAAAATAAATATATTTCTGTTTCCTCACACTTGTATGAAATATACTGATAACCCTAGAACACTATTTTCCCATTTTCTACATTATTTAGAAATAATGCAGCTATTTTAAACAAAATGGTTTTTACATGCTGTGAAAACTATCAGATTATAAAACGAAGTAGATTGGGGAAAGGAGTGATAAGCAAAACTTACTGGCATTGCTCATCTCTGGTCAGAACTAAACTAAAAGAGCTGGTACTATGGCTTAGTGGGTAAAGCCTTTGCCTGCAGTGCCGGCATCCCATATGGCTGCCGGTTGGAGTCCCAGCTGCTCCACTTCCGATCCAGCTCTCTGCTATGGCCTGGGAAAGCAGTGGAGGATGGCCCAAGTGCTTGGGCCCCCACACCCAAGTGGGAGACCCAGAAGAAGCTCCTAGCTCCTGGCTTTGGATCAGCTCAGCTCTGGCTGTTGTGACCACCTGGGGAGTGAACCAGTAAATGGACTTTCTCTCTCTTTCTGTCTCTTTCTATCTCTCTGCCTCTCTATGGTTCTGGCTTTCAAATCAATCAATCTTAAAAAAAAAAAAAAAGAGAGAGAGAGAGAGAGAGAGAGAACTGAACTAGAAACAATGGCTGCTAATACCAGGTCAGCATCCAGTCAGTGTCTGGGACAGACAGTTACCTGACCAGCCAGCAAAACAGATTAGCAGCTTAGAGATTTCCACACATTCAGAGGAGATTTTAAAAAGTAAGTAATACCTTCTCTCCAAACAATTATCTTGCAGGTATTTCAGAAATTAAACTGCATGTAAAACATTTTACTACTGAAAGTGAAAATGTTTATACTGAAATAGGTGCAGTTTCAGAACTGGTACTCTTACTGATGCTGGTTCATATTGGGTGGGCACGGAGCAGGAAATGGAACTATGTTAAGATTAATTGGTCTGAGCCGGCACGGCTCACTAGGCTAATCCTCCACCTGTGGCGCCGGCACCCTGGGTGCTAGTCCCAGTTGGGGCGTGGGATTCTGTCCCAGTTGCTCCTCTTCCAGTCCAGCTCACTGCTGTGGCCCTGGAAGGCAGTGGAGGATGGCCCAGATCCTTGGGCCCTGCACCCGCGTGGGAGACCAAGAGGAAGCATCTGGCTTCTGGCTTCAGATGGGCGCAGTGCTGTGACAGCCATTTAGGGGTGAACCAACTGAAGGAAGACCTTTCTCTCTGTCTCTCTCTCTCACTGTCTAACTCTGCCTGTCAAAAAAAAAAAAAAGATTAATTGGTCTAATTTTTCCCATTCCCAAGAACTTACTGCTAGACAATATTTAGTAGATGAGGAGCTATTTTAGTGATGAAGAGTGTAACAACGGAAAGCCCTGCCCTAGAGGAAGAGCTAACTCTAGTACAGTATATCTGGGCAGTGGACTCCTGTTCAACACAGAAATACAATATTGTGTCTGTCCGCCCAGGAGTGCAACATCGAGGCAAAATCCTACATAGCAGATGAGTTCATTGATAAATTAAAACACGCATGGCGGAGACTTAAAAGCAATAAAAATTAAAATAGGTCCAGTTATAGAACACAGATGTTTCTGTTCCTTTAAAAGGTAAATCCTTGTGTTATCATTGCCTTTGAGCCAAAGACACAGAGGACAAGAAAAAAATAAAAAGAGGAAAAGAAATAAGAGTGAATTACGGTTTATGTGAATCCTTTCCAGGAGTAAAAGACGAGACTTCCCTGGGGAACTGAGTGGCTGGCCTATCATAATTACCTTGTTATTAAAATTCGATTGTATTTTTTCAAGTTCTCTTTGGTAAAGAAACCTGATAATTGATGCTTCTATTCACTTGCTTTCTGCAGTTTATTAATCTGAGATGAACTATAAGAGCTACTTATGTTTTAAACTTAGATCGATCTGATTCATCCTATTATCTTTATCTTATGGAAAATGATGTTAAGGAAACAAATATGGAGCAATAAAACTAAGCCATGAAGCGCAATAGAATGACAAAATCAGGAATGTAAAATATTATAAGTAGTGATAATATTATGAAATAATATTGTGAAATATTATAAGAAGTATGCCAGAATCAAGGGAACAAAAAGAATGGAACATGGAGATAATAATTTGTGAAAAGTTTGCATTGTGGACATCAGGAAAAGAGCAACTAGAAAGTCACCCTGCTTCACAGTTGTTGACTTCATTATCCTGCTGAAAAATTAGAACAACACCAAGCATCCACTCAGTGCCCCAGAGAGTAGAAGTTCTGAAACTTGTTTGCATAAATGCTTGTAGACACAATGGAGGAAGTTTCAACCATACCCAGCACAAAACTGAGCACCAGAGCTCACGTATGAAGTTGTGCACCACGTGGAACCCCACACGTTCTCTCCCATCTCCTTCACTCTCCCCTTCTTGATTTACGTTCCTCTCTCTTCTCTTCAGCCTTGCTTGCTAAGCACTGACAGCACAGACGCTCAGTAGATTTTCCAGCTAAAAAAAAAATCCACAGCCTCATGCCACACTCTGCGCCCTGGGGCTTAAGGGGTTTTTTGATCTCTACAGATGTTTTCTGAAACTTACGCAGATTCCTGCACCGGTCACACCAGTGTGTCTCCTACCCTGGCTCCCTGTTCTGCCCTTCACACAATCCCTCAGTTGGGACATCTGCAGTCAGTTCCAGCAGCCAGAGAAAGTTCCAAAGGCCTGGCCTCTGCGCTCCACACTCTCAGGGCTTAAAGGATCTATTGGATGGTCTCTCACTGTGTTGCGATCAAGTCCTAGCTCCTCGTCAAACGGCCACTGCTTTCCTCATCCGCCCGAGAGACCGCTATCCCAGAATCTTCTGAACGTGGACTCCGCACTTCTCCGCTCATCTGGAGCCCTGCCCGTTCCTGTTGCCACCCTGTTCTTGTGCCCACGTCCAGCCTTGCATCACAGCGGGGCTGTGCTCCTTGTGTCTCTGAAGGCAAGTATCTCTCCCAGGAGCTCGCCACCTCACCACACTCTACCGCTCCAATAGCCGCTTCCCCTCCACCCAGTGTGGTTCCTAGCCACGACCTGGCCATGGCTCTGCGCGAGGACTGACAGAGCCTTGCTGTTTGGGCTTTGTTTAATGTCATTTATTCTCAATTGTCATATTACACGTGCACGTTGGGACCCTGCTATGAAAAATAAAATGTGTTTACCAACTTCCAGGCATTCAAATCCAATTAATTTATGCTTTTATTGTGGGTCTTGATGACTTTTATGCAACTCAGGCATTCTGAACAGAAGAGTGTTGCATTTGAACTGTAAACAGAAAATACTGAGATGTTCCTTTTGCTTTTTCTTAATGTGACTATGAGTCCACCTTTGACTTTTATAAACACACAAAATGGAAACTAAATATCTGGCTGATTTTCTAATGGATTTAGAGACAAACTAATCAATAGCTAATTAACGAGTAGCCCATTAGTCATGTGAGCAGCCCAGAAATTTAAAAAGAAACTTATATTAATAAAACCAATTTCCCACTTCACTGTGCTCCTTTGAGTGCAACCTTAATTTATTTGTATCACTTAAAGCAGTAAAAATCAGTACGTCTTCAACATATTGAACTATAAACGCTCTTTCAAATCCAATTAGTAGACACCCAGGAGCACCTCTGTGAGGTGTGAAGACAAGGGCTGTTGGAGTTGCGAAGGCTCAGGGACCCAGGGGGGACGCTTTCCAGCATTGTTTCCTGGCCCCAGACAATACCCTCTGCGAGGAACACTGCGGCACTTTGTCCTGTTGAGTGCTACGGTGAATGCTGCATTAAGCCTGTGGCTCTAGAGTGGGGTATAACTGTGTTTTTGAGAAACATAAAGAAAAATAAAAGAAAGGAAGGAAGAAAGGAAGGGGGGTTGAGGGAGAGAGGGAAGTATGATATCTTCTTCTACCTGTGAAATTTATGAAATCTGTTCTCTATTAACACAGACTTCAATGAACATGCAAACCATGTTTTCAAAGAGTTAGGAGACTTGGAGTCCTTGCTGATGGGCCAATGCCCTAGATTACCTCCTATGTCCATATTCACTCTCTGTCCTCACCCGCATGTGCACACACGCACACACAACACACAACACACACACACACACACACACACACGCCTTTCACCCCTGCAGGGCTGACACACTGGAACACTGTTCAGGAATCACAGTGGAAACCAGAGTTTGCAGGCATGGATCTACAGGTAACTTATGAAAAATCCCAGATGAGTTATACAACCATGGACATGGAGGATCTCACTAAGAGAGAATAGCAATACTTTTCACGCCTAGGATGATAATGTTCCTGACATTCCAGAACACAAGGCAAAAAATTATTTAGCATGTGTTCTTCCAGACTGTGAGGTGGACGCAAACTTAGGGCTTATTTAGATTGATTCTACAAATTTTGGATTTGGCAGGGGTAATTTTTTTCTAAAATAGAAAACAAAGAACCAGTGCTAATATAATAAGCAGGGACTAGTTATCTAAACAATGGCACAGTTTAGAATTCCCATCATTTCATCAAAGAATAACAAAACTAAGAACAAAAATAATAAAATATGAGACCATACGTGAATGTTTAAAGTTATTGGGGGAAAAGGGAGCAGATGGTGCAGAGGGCTATGTATCTGCCTGCTGCACCAGCATCCCTTAAGGGCACTGGTCCACACCCCAGCTGTACTTCTGACCCAGCTCTCTGCTGTGATCTGAGAAAGCAGTAGAAGATGGCCCAAGTGCTTGGGCCCTGCATCTGCATGGGAGACGCAGAAGAATCTCCTGGCTCCTGGCCTTGATCAACCCAGCTCTGGTTGTTGGAACTACCTGGGGAGTGAACCAGTGGACGGAAGATCTCTTTGTTTCTCTCTTAATTCTCTGTAACTCTACCTCTCACATAAATAAATAAAAATCTTAAAAAAGTTACAAAAGTGTTCCCCATCTCCCTTTGACTTCCCACAGGCTGGGGACACATTTCATCACCATGAAGAGCGGTGCATGGCTGGGTTCCTCACAGCCCAATGTCATCCCATAAAGTGCTGAAGACAGTACATCTGTGGCAGGGACAGAGTATTTTTCTCAATCCCAAGTAACGTTCTTTGTTTTAAGCTTGGCCAAAGGCCTGGCGCTGACGTCTAAGTCACAGTCAATCCCAAAGTCCTTGTTTTCTTATCCTGAAAAACCTGCTGATTTCACAGCCACCTGAGGTTGCACTGAGCCCTATAATGTCCGAGATGCAAGGATGGGGGTCCCTCACTGAGTCAGGCATGCAGAGACTCAGAGACAACCGCGGACAATCTCTCCCTAGCATGGAAACCCAATGCGCAGAGACGAGGTTGCGGTGAGAGTGACAGTCACCAAGCCTGACGTCGAAGATGGCTGTAGGCTGCTCCAGGGCCTCGTGCTGAAAGGCTGTGCATCAGGATCCCTTGTTGCAGTCTACCCTGAACCTGCTGCAAGGGCCTGTGGTAATGACCGCTCCTAGGAGGACAGGTCCCCTGGACACTGCCAATTACCAGAGTGAGGAAAGGTGCAGAATAAATTTGGTGGACTGTTCATTAAGGAACACAATATGCTCTAGAAGTAAAACCGCTGCCTTCCCACTGCAACTCAAAAGAGAAATCAAAAGCCAGCCTTCTCTCTCTTTTTTTTTCTTAATGAATTTTAAAACCCAGATTAGGCTGAAGGTTGCCTGGCAACTGAGATCCACACATAAGGGGCAGAACCCAGGCTGGCAGGGCTGGTGGGAAGCCCCGTGGGAGGAGCCAGGAGAGGCCCTTACATCCTGGCGCAGCATGGGGCCAAGGCTGCTGCTTACCCACAGCCTGAAGGAGAGGAATGTTTTCACTGGAGAGAAGGCAGGAGAGACCGGAGCAGCCACTGCAACAGCCAGTGCCAAGTCCAGAATCTGCCACCTGGAGTCCCCCTGAATACATACTCCAGACAAGTCCAGAATCTTCCACCTGGAGTCCCCTTGAATACACACTCCAGACAAGTCCAGAATCTGCCACCTGGAGTCCCCTTGAATACACACTCCAGACACGCCCAGAATTTTCCACCTGGTGTCCCCCTGAATACACACTCTAGACAAGCCCAGAATCTGCCACCTGGAGTCCCCTGAATACACACTCCAGACAAGCCCTGAATCTTCCACCTGGAGTCCCCTGAATACACACTCCAGACAAGCCCTGAATCTTCCACCTGGAGTCCCCTGAATACACACTCCAGACAAGCCCAGAATCTGCCACCTGGAGTCCCCTGAATACATACTCCAGACAAGCCCAGAATCTGCCACCTGGAGTCCCCCTGAATACATACTCCAGACAAGCCCAGAATCTGCCACCTGGAGTCCCCCTGAATACATACTCCAGACAAGCCCAGAATCTGCCACCTGGAGTCCCCCTGAATACATACTCCAGACAAGCCCAGAATCTGCCACCTGGAGTCCCCCTGAATACATACTCCAGACAAGTCCAGAATCTGCCACCTGGAGTCCCCTTGAATACACACTCCAGACAAGTCCAGAATCTGCCACCTGGAGTCCCCTTGAATACACACTCCAGACACGCCCAGAATTTTCCACCTGGAGTCCCCCTGAATACATACTCCAGACAAGCCCAGAATCTGCCACCTGGAGTCCCCCTGAATACATACTCCAGACAAGCCCAGAATCTGCCACCTGGAGTCCCCTGAATACACACTCCAGACAAGCCCTGAATCTGCCACCTGGAGTCCCCCTGAATATACACTCCAGAGCCACCTTGTGGGGAGGTGCGGCCTGGGGTTTTGTTTTGGGTTTTTCCCGCAGCTGGATCTTATGGCACCATGGTACTTTTATGCTCCCTTTGATTTCCTTGGAGAATTAATTCAGTTTTTTTGGGGGGACTCTCCATTCTCCCAATTGAGCTTGGTATTTTAGAAAAATATTACACACATGAACACACACACATACATGCATATCTACACACACGCATGCACGGTCCTTTTTCAACATGCGCCTATGGTATGCCATGTTGTACAGTCTAAGAATGAGATTCTACCCACAGGATAAAAGGCTGCCCATGTGGGAATCAGGTGCACACGGAAGACCATGGACCGTATCCACCTTGAGCAGTGAGCATCACATCCCACAGCCTCTGGCATTCATTGTCCACAAAATCGATGGCATAGACCTTCATCCAAACTGTCTTGTCTGTAACGTTCAGACTTCTCCCTGAAAACCCACCAGCAACACTAATCTCCACACCAAAGCCTAAACCTTAGCCCATCCTCCACCTCTACCTCGACTGCTTGAAACTGCACTCACTACATTCCAGATGGGACCTTTATCTGGCAGCTGCTGAGCTGTGGACCTGGTCCCTGCTCCCCTCGGTGCTGGGATGCACATAAAACAGGCAGCTCCCATGTGTTCTTCCACCGTGGGAATGAAGCACAAGCAAGCCAGGCAGTGTGTCGATAGCAACTATGGCCGAGGCTGGGGTAAGAGCGCTTTGATGCAGGCTACCTGAGGAGAAACCAGCCCAGCTGGGCCCTGAGGAATGAGTGTGGAAGGAATGCGGGCCAGGGGTCAGGGGTAAGACATGAACTATGGATGTAAATTAATTATGAAACCAGGGCTGGCCTTGTGGTGTAGTGGGTTAAGCCACCACCTGCAACCCAGGCGTCCTATATGGGCATTGGTTCATGAGCCAGTTGTTCCACTTCATTTCCAGCTGCCCGCTAATGGCACAGGAAAAGCAGTAACATTATGGTCAACATGCTTATGTCCTTGTCACCCAGCATGTGGGAGAGCTGGACGAACCTCCTGTCTCGTGGCTTTGGGTTGCAGCCATCTGGGGAGTGAACCAGCAGGTTCCCTGCCACCTCTTTCCTTCTCCTTCTCCCTCTCCTTCCCTCCCCCTTCCTCTCCTTTCTCTGTAACTCTAATAAAATAAATATTGAAAAAAAACGAGACCAGGCAAGTTATTTTAGTTTCTCTTTTCTATTTATTTTAAATCTATCATTAGTACAATATCTTTAGAGCACACATCTCTTGAAACAAGGGGACACACACTCCAGCACAGCCCAACAGCTGACCCCAATATTTGTCAAGCACACACATGGGCAGGGGGATGAGCTCGCATATAAGCATGACATGGGGCTAAGGAACCATGTCGTGTTTACCAGGTGGGCTAGGGCACAGTTCTGATGCCGCCGCTGCTGACACATGACAAAGAAAAGCAATATGACCAGCAGTCACCAGCCTACTAAAGTGTCCCGCAGCACCTAGGCCCTAAGTTCAATTCTGTTTTTGTCCGTTTCTTCTGTTTCAGCTCTCCATTTTGCTTTATATTTAGTGTAAACTTACATAGGATAGGACTCAGTACAAGCCAATTGAATGAACGTATTGAAACGGAAATAAGCCATGGTTTCTCTGACTCTTAGAAGCAAAGAAAGCCACGCTAAATTAGAATCTGTAAAGCAACTTGAGTGTGCATGTGTGTGTGTGTGCACGCATGTGCATGAATGTTGGTATGCGTCTGTGCATGTGTGGTGTGTTTAAGCTCACATCCATATGAAGAGTTCTTCAGAAGGAGCTCGGTGCATGACTAAGTGGTATACATTTTCTTTTTTTTTAAAGCTTTATTTTATTTTTCTGAAAGACAGAGTTACAGAGAGAGGTAGAGACAAAGAGAGAGATCTCCCACCGACTCGTTCACTCCCCAGATGGCTGCGATGACCAAAGCTGCGCCTATCTGAAGCCAGGAGCCAGGAGTTTCCTCCAGGTCTCCCACACGAGTGCAGGAGCCCAAGGACTTGGGCCATCTTCTACTGCTTTCCCAGGCCATAGCGGAGAGCTGGATCAGAAGTGGAGCAGCTGGGACTAGAACTGGCGCCCAAGTGGGATGCTGGTGCTTCGGGCCAGGGTGTTAACCCACTGTGCCACAGTGCCGGCCCCGTGATATACGTTTTCAATACTAGAACCTTCACAGAAGCAAAAACATTCAAACAAATCTTAAAGAAAATCAATGACCACCAGGCCTAAATAGTCTTTTCTTAGAATCTGATTTTTCTTCTCAGTTTTACAACCTTCTTTTTTAATGCTTTTTGCCCTATTTGTGATTCCACAGACAAGCACACTTCACGAGAGATGTGGGCACAGGGCCTCCTCTGTCAGCAGCAGTGAGAAAGTCAAGCGTAATTCAGGATTCGCTTTGAGGATTTCTTCCAAGCTGGCTCAGAGAAAGCCACGGAGCCAGCAAAATAGCAACAATCCTCCTATTCCCAGCGCATGAATGAGTCTCAGTTCTCAGGGGCAACCTAGGGAGATGCCGAGCATCCCAAGCAGGCTCTAACAGGGACCCTGTGTGCGAGGCACAATGGCTCAGCCAGCTGGGACCCCTAGGTGGAACCCCTTTCTCACGAATTCACTGGCGCCTGTTCATAGGCCCAGCCCTGTGCTCCCAGCACCCCCTCCCAATCCCACTGTGCCACCACCTCTGGCTTTTGGATGTCCACAGCTAGCAGTTTTTCTTTAAAAAAAAAAGTTAAACTGTGAAAGAATGGATTCAGGCAAAGACACGTGCCTGAACGTCTACTGCCATGAATGGGTCCATGTGTCTTGAATATTCCATACATTACAAAGGATTTGGAGGCTGATTCGTTCCCAGGAACACATGAAAGTGCTTTTTCTCCAAGAGCTCACGGCCTTTATGCTATTTGAATATCCGTAGATCAGATTTCCCCCTATAGTCTGCATATAGGGTATGCAGAACCATGCACTAGCAAATGGCAAATGCAGGGAGGGGTCTGGTCACCCACCAACTCAGCAATCCTCTGCCATCCCCGCCCTATTCTCACCCACTCATGCCCCTCGAGGCTCCTGTCTGAAGCACTGAACTCCAGCCATTTCTGAAGATGACTCACCTGGGGCTTGTCTCCTAGCTAGGGCTGCTTTTACTGGAATGGATTGTCCTCTCTGGACTGGTTACATTCTCCAGCTACTTCAAGCCGGCAAGGCCATGGATCAGTTAAGCAATAAGGAATACAGTGTCCACCTTCTTGAGTAACATGGTGCCAGTTCACAGCTTACTCCTCAGAAAAGAGTAACGATAGATACTGGGTACTCTTCATGTCTTACTCCTAAGTGCCACAATCCACCTCCGTGACACAACAGTGGGTCTATTTGGAGATGGGATGAGATTACAAGTGTCTTTTGTATGCATCATATCCATTCAAGCATGGACACATCCTGGGTCCGGCAATAGCCTTAGACTCTGAAAATCAATGTTCCCACCAGTCTTGAAGAATGTGGTCGCACAAATTGTGGCTCTAACACAGCGAGACACATTTTATAAAGATTTCTTTATACTGGAGATTGTACACACCATAGCTATGCTGAATGAATTAACATGGGAAAGAAGAAAATCACTTGTCCTTGGTATCAACGGCAGGCAGGAGTTAGGGATGGAAGAGTAGTTGAGACTGAGGAGGGCCTTACTGAGGGGATCTGAACATGGATTATTGAAGATAACATAGAGTTGTTACAAAGGATGCATTTTCCACCAGCCTTTTGAAAATGCTTCTTATGCATAGATTTCAAAAACTGTTTGCCACAACATAAACTTATCTTTTAATTATCTTTTCCATGAGCTTTTTGTAATGCCCTCAGGTTTGAGCTATACCCTGAAGGGAGATAAGTCAGTCAAGAGGAAAAAAGTTGTTTTCTCACAAAGTCCCAGTCAACTGAATGATGAGAACACTGGCTCAGGTTACCTCATCAGGAAAAATAAGGAGAAGAGAGAATTCCCTGGTGTGAACATGGACCTTGAGGAAACTCAACAACGCCTGTGCACTCGTCAGTCTGACAGCACAGTGCTGCTTCGAGCAGGTTGGTGGGGCAGAGGGGCTGGACCCAGCTGTCCAAAGTAAACGTGAAAAGATGGACCAAGGAGGAGAACCCAGCAGACAGAGCCCAGGTGAGAACGCAAGGAGGCACAGCTTTTTGCAACATTTGTTCCCAATAAATTGTTTTTATATCTATTTCCTTAAACTGACAGTGGAATTTCTTTCTTTTTGAGTCAAGGAAATTTGTCTATGTTCTCTGTAATAACAACCAAATTTGCCCTTGACTGTTTAATTCCAGTTAATAAATAAAATCGTAAGCTTGTCCTCCTTTTACTACATTTGCAGTTTAATTGTTGATGGGACAGAGTGTCTAGGTTATTAGGCTTAGTGACTGTCAACATACCCCTTCCAACCATAAAACGCCCACAACCATGATGGCCACTAGATCAGCAACCAGCTAGGCTGCTGGCATCTGTTCCTTGGTTGGCTCCTGTCAATACTCAGATTTAACCTCTTTCCTCTTGGGGCCAACTTTCCCTTCCGATAGTTAATCTCACCAGGATTTTCCTGAGGCTACCAGTCCTTCCCATTTGCACAGCAAAAGCCAGATGTGTTTTCTTTCCACCTCAGATCTGATTCTTGGTGGTCCACCTCTGAGATGATGCCACTTCCTCTAGTGTGGCTGGTCAACCTGCCCACCAGTTTCCACAGATTGCCAGAATGATTTAAAAAGTTCTTAGAAAACAGAACTAAAATATAAGTTTAAGGATGGGCATTGTGGTGCAGTGAGGAGTGCCCATATCACATATCAGAGGGATGATTTGAGTCTTAGCTACTCTTCTTCTGATCTGGCTTCCAGCTAATGTACATCTTGACAGGCAGCATGTGACAGCTAAAGTGCTCAGGCCTCATGCGAACTATGAGTGATACCTGAACAGAGTTCAGGTTCCTGACTTTAGCTTGGCCCATCTTGGTTACAGCAGGAATTAGGCTAAAGCAGGCAATTAGTTGGAAGATTCAACTCATATTTCTCTCTCTCTCTCTCTCTCTCTCTCTCTCTCTCTCTCTCCTTCCCTTTCTTCCTCCCTCTCTCTCTTCCTCCTTCCCTCCCTCTCTCACTCTCCCTCCTATTCTCTTTCCACTTCTCCCTCCTTCTCTCTTCATCTGTCTTTCAGGAAGATGAAAATATGTAAGCTCTATGACCTTGTCTAAATAAGATCAGAGTTGGTGAACGCAAGAGGCTTCCATAGCTTTGGCAGCTCATGACCAGAGCCTCGGGTGATTACTGACTTCATAAATAAGAGTGTCAATTGTTAAATCAACAATGGGAGTCACTGTGCACCTGCTCCCCATGTAGGTCCTCTGCTCTTAATGTGTTGTATTATGAGAATTAATGGTAAAACTACTACTCAAACAGCACTCTATACTTTGTGTGTCTGTTTGGGTGCAGTCTGTTGAAATCTTTACTTAGTATATACTAAGTTGATCTTCTGTATATAAAGATACTTAAAAATGAATCATGATGAAGAATGGGATGGGAGAGGGAGTGGGAGATGGGAAGGTTGTGGATGGGAGGGAGGTTATGAGGGGAAAATTCACTATAATTCAAAAGTTGTATTTTGGAAATTTATATTAAATAAAAGCTGAAAAAGAAAATATGTAAACATTTTAAAAGGTAAGTTTATTTTTCGTGCAAAACGAACTCATAGTTTTTTGATAAGACATATTTTTATGAATTTTTAAAAGACCTCACATTCACAAATAACACTTCTTTGCACCACTCCCAATAAAGGGTCATCATTTATAGGCGTGTTCCCTTCTCCGTGACCTTGTCTGTTGCTATAGGACCCAGGGTAAAGGATTAGAATTGCTGGTGTCCTTGCTTCTCTATCTTTCTGCACCCCTTGCGTCCCCTTGGGCACTGTGTCCCTGGGCATGGAGAGCTGTGCAGTATCTCTGCAGTGAAACTCTACCTACACCCTCTCTGTGCCTCCTCAGCTAAGTTACCCTTTGCAAAATGTGGCTATTTCTCTCCATTCCTACTTAATCTCTCTTTTTCACTCGTGTGATGTGTAAGTCTCAACAATTTCATTCGCAGCCATGACTTCAGCTAGGATTTGGCAGAGTCCCTGGTTCAATATTTGTAAAATTAATGAGTCAAAGAATCTCTGTTCTAATAGGCCTCTGGTCCTAACTCATGCCCACACCTCTCTCCTGACAGCTGGTTTTGTTTCTAGCTGCCTCTTGGAGATTTCTGTCAGGAATTCTCACAAGTACTGCACTTAAACACGGATGCCTTTGTGTAAGCATAAATACAAACAAAAGGTACTGGTCTTATTTCCCATAGTTGGCTCTCAGATGGAAAGTCGGTTTCCATCTGTGAAACTACATACAAGAGTTGCAGAGATATTCTTTGGTATTTCATGTGTACTTTTTCTTCATTTCTTAGGATGGTTTCTGTTTCTGAGGTTAAACTAATATTTTCAATGTCATCAGACTGTCATTATCTTTCATTAATTGCTTTGTTCATTGCAAAATACTTACTGAGAGCCTCATGCATGTCGGTTGCTTTTATTCCAATGTGGGAAGGACATAGCACAACAAGTAGATGTTCAGTGGAAATGGTCATTGATCACTGTGAGTTGGTGACAAGCACACGTCATGGGTCGGTCCATTTAGAAAGAGTTGCCTGTGCATCCCTTCTGAAAGGTTGCGTTTTTGTAAACTGGAGAGCTAGCAAACAAGTCAACATGGGCAAGAGCAGGAAGCAAGAGCGCTCCATGGTGGGGCAGCAAGCATTGAGGGCAGAGGGTCCCACTGTGTCAGACTTAGGCAGCAGCCTGGGGAGGGAGGAGTGGCACAGGGGTAACCCCAGCAGGGCCTTCAAGCCACAGAAATAATTAAGATCATAGAAGCTGATGGGTGGTGCTGGAGGGTGGGGAAGTGGCCAGATCTAGTGCATATTCCAAATCATTACTGGGATAGGTTGTGCCAGGGCAAACACAGCCACATAGAGACGCACTAGGGAGCGATTTCAGTTTGTGTGAGAAGTGATGCTGTCTCTTCCCAGGGCAGCGAGAGCAGGCCAGGAGAAGAGCATTGGCGGGAAATTTCAGAGCCGGAATCAGGAGTTCTTGGCAGCTGGCTGGGGGGCTGAAGGAATTCGATAAGTCAAGAATGGAATCTGAGCCAGACAACTCACTACCTGAGATGGAAAAGATGGTGGGGACCAGGGCAGAGAGTGCAGCAGCACCAAGGGGGCTCTGTTCACTGCGAGTGGGGGAGGTAGCTGGAGATCAGGACAGAGGCTGTAGGGCTGAATGAGAATGAGAGGATGAGGGAGAGGGGGAGCAGGAGAACAGGTACAGGACTGGGTCCTGAGGCTTGCAGGCAACGCCCTGCAGAGTAGCTGACACGTATGCAGCTCAGCCATCGGGCAAAGGGTGCAGGCCCAGAGCTGCTCCTTCGGTGCCCTTGATCTCCAAGCCTTGTGCTGTCTGGGCAGACCACAGAGGCAGCCAGCAGACGCTGAGCTTCTCCCATGACCGGGAGTCCCAAAGGCAATCTCCACACAACCACGGAATCAGACTACAAGAGAGGAACAGACCTCAAAACGCAGAGAACAGAAAATTAAAGGCAAAGCCGTGTCACTCAGCTCAGCCCGATTCCTAATTCCAATCCCGTTTCCGTCTGTATGCCATAAATACTTCAAATGCAACTCATATATAAGATGGGGCTGATCAAAATCTGCTCCCAGGAGCTTCCAGCTGAGCATGGCTGACTGAATGCACTTATCCCGGCTTCCTCACCAGATACGTGGGAGGCATGAGAACACCATCTCCACCAGGACGAAGACAAAAGAGACACGTTGACAGCAACGTGATTTTAGAAGCCTCTGGGTTAACAGACAAGTGGAACTGACTTAGCAGAATTGATAAAGCTGAAATCTAAATGGGCGATTTGGGAATTCCAGAAACAAGCCAATTTGTAGCACACAGTCCCAGAGAGGCTCGGGAGTGGGAGGCCTCGGAAGGGCCTACAAATGTCAGCCTCAAGCAAGAAGGCCTCAGGGAACCCTGGATAGGCAGAGCCACAACCTTAGACACCACCCCTGCCTTCCTGGAGAGGGGCCACAACCCCCACAGCAGCAGAACGTTCTAGGTTCTTCAGGGATGCGGAACCCTGGGCAAAACTGGAGCGAGATTAACAGAAAATCAAGCTCCAGCTCGGTGCCCTTTGGCCTCATCTTCCTTTCCCACTCCCTCCCCAGCCTCTGTCATCCCCTCTCTGCGCTGTTTCTGTGACGTCCACAGGTCAGTGAGCACTTGTGGTACCTGTGCCCGGCTTACTTCACTGTATGGTGAACACAGTCCACAAAAATGCATCCCATATTTCAAAACTGTGAAAGAAATAGATTTTTAGCATTGTCACCACACCAATAGAACGGTGAGTTGGTGAGATGATGGAAATAGTTATTATTTTGATTGAATCCACAATGCAAAAATCAAAATATCACACTATAGCCCACAAAGGCACATAATTACCATCTGTCCATCAAAACATATGCTGAGCAAAGTTCAATTGAAATGTACATTATGGAAGGCGTGGCTCCAAGCCTCTCTCCCCTAGCTGGCTCTGAGAACCATCCAAGGAATCTCATAACACCCAGGAACAGTCAGGGAGGTGTTTGCCAAGGAAAGGCTCCAGGCCAGGGAAAACACCAAGAGCTGCAGCAAGCTGAGGAAGCAGTGAGCACTCTGCCCAGCACGTGTTCCTGGGATGGATAAAGCCATCCACCCAACAGCCTGCCCCACTCTGACACACCCAGAGACAGCTCTCAACATTTAGTCCTAACGCTTTTAAATATGAGCAGACATCGAAGGTCACCAAACCATCAGAACACCCAGCAGTCAGAAAAAATCCAACAACACACACACACACACACACACACACACACCAACAGAAAGTATCCACAGGGACTCCTAATTCCACCCTGAGGCCTGCCTGTTCCTTTTTTCTCTTCTTTTTCTCATGTTAAAGTTTTAAAAATTGTATCTCAGGTACATACATTTCATGTATTTCATATATGCAGATTCAAGAACATAGTGATGCTGCCCACCCAACACTCCCTCCCCACCATACTCCCACCCTGCTTCCTCCTCCCTCTTCTATTCCCACTCTGAATTCTATTTTCAGTTTACTTTATATTCATACTATTAACTCTACTCTAAGTAAAGAGATCAACAAATAGTATGAAGGGAAAACACTGCTCCTCAACAGTGGAGACAAGGGCTATAACAATCATCGAATTTCAAAACACCAATTTCACTCCTATATATTACATTTTAGGTACTCTATCCGTTACCACAGGTCAGAGAATCGTATGGTATCTATCTTTTTGGGACTGGCTTATTTTACTGTGTATAATGGTTTCTGGTTGCGTCCATTTTGTTGCAAAAGACAGGATTTCTTTCTTTCTTTTTTTTTTTAACCGCTGAGTAGTGTTCCATAGTATACTCCTGTTGTGCTCTTAGACCCTCCTGGCTCACTGGACCAACTTCCTGTCACAGTGCAGGACTCTGTCCTGTCATTACTCTGTCCAGCTGAGTCACCCTTGTTTCAATTCTAGTTTTCACATTCATTGCTTTTCATTCCTAAACAGTGTGTAAAACTTTGAGGAGAGAGCCAACACATTGTTTTGAGAAGCTAAAGTTAAAATAAGGAAAATAAACAGACAAAACTAGCTGTGTATATTGGCCTTCAGTGTGGTGCAGCCGGTGGCACAGCTGGGCCCTGGCCCTGCCTCAAGCACCAGCCTTTGCAGGAGTGGTTTGGGGAGGTAATGTCACCTGGAGAAGCCTCCAGGAGTCAGTAAAAGTCACCCCTCAACCCTAGGAAAAGCCACAAAAGAGCCTGTACACTGGGCATGCATACCAGTGTGTCCTAATGACGGACAGTCTGGGCATCCACACTTTCACCTAAAGGCTCCTCCACCACGTGGTGGAGGCTGTGAAAGACTACTGTTGCCTTAAAACAGTTAGACTTCCGTCTGCAGCCCATCAGTAAAGTACAGGTGGCAGCTGGGCCGGTGAGTGGGCCAGGGAGTGACCGCCAAGGATTTGCGACTAACAGCAGCTGGCGACCTAGGTTACCGCTGTGCCATGGAGGGTGACTGGTCCAAGGATTCCACAGCCCACATGCCAGGACAATGTGAGGAACGTGGGCCTTGTCACTGACCACTCAACTGGACCACAGCTGTCCCATGTGCACTCTTTAAGTCCCTTAACGTCAAGTGTCCTCAGTGCCTCAGTATCTTCCGGAAAACAAGACCTCTGGGTTTGATCCACAGAGAGCTTCTGGCAAGCCTGCTAGATCTGACGCAAATTAATGGGCTGCTTAGCTAATTAAGACGGCGCAACTGCTTTCTCTAATAATGGATGCTAAAAGGTCTCTAAAATCCTACCTGCAGAACTAAATTGTTTATTGTTTATTCACAGATGTGAATAACCACTGAGGAGTTGTTTCCCTCACTCATGGCCCTGCTCAACGAATTTCATCATATTTCCCAGTAAAACTCTTTTATTTATTTATTTGAATGGCAGATTGACAGAGAGAAGAAGGGCAGATCTTTTCCATCCACTGGTTCACTTCTCAAAGGGGCAGAAAAGTCCGAAGCCAGGGACCAAACGCTACATCCAGATCCCCCATGTGGGTGAAAGGGGCCCAAGCACTTGGGCCATCTCTACTGCATTCCTAGGTGTATTAGCAGGGAGCTGGATGGAAGTGGAGCAGCCAGGACTCCAACCAGCACCCATATGGGATGTTGGTATTGGTGGCTTAACCCACTGTACCACAGCACCAGCCCCCAGCAGTAAAACTTTTAAATCTGAGTTATAACTCCAGGTTATAAATACCAGGAGGTAATAATCCTGCCTAAGCATCCTCTCACTCACATGCTAGCTCACACTTTTGTTTGTGGCAAACTATATAAACACTGAAATTACCATTTTACCCACTGTAGGTGTACAATGTAGTGGCATTAAGTCTCTGCCTATTGTTGAGTGACAGCACATATTTGATGCCAATTCATCTCTAGAAAGTCACGTTCACATAGACTAAGTGTAGTCCCCTACAGGCTGTCCCCAGGGGTCATGCTGAGGAATAATGGTCAAGATCACCTCAAACTCCTTGTGTGTGTGAACAAAGAGTGCTCCCAAGTTCAAGTCAACCTGCCGCACACACAGGGGAAAAGGAAGCCATCATGGGACTTCAGCGAGTCAATCACTTTGAAAAGTTTATTACTGCAGAGTTTCCATCCGTAGCCAGCAAGGACATAATTGATATAATTTTCCACTACTCAATTCCAGTGCATGGGGATGAATTACTAATATAACTTTTTCCCCTGGCTGTTTGTTCCTGCTACCTACAAAATTACCCTGTGCCACTCAAATCTCTTTGCAAAGTGAATATGTGGGAAAGGGATATTCCTAGTCATGGGAGATCTATCTGTGGGTTGTAGGGTCTGTCCCTGAATGCATAGCATTTGTTCGTGTCAGAGAGGCCCATCATACCAGGCAGTGAACACGGCCCTGCAAATGAGGCCATGTTAGAGAGTACAGTAAGGGAATCCACAATTTTCTTTGAAACAGGGACATTCATCATTTTATCACCCTTTAAGTATCATTTTTCTGAGTCATCAATAGTGAGGTGTTGATTATATTTTAAAACTCCACCTAAAGGATAGAACTGAACATCATCATATTGCTCATACATTTCTACCTTTTAAGTTTCTAAATGAAGCCATTTCCACGTAGTATGGGGATTAGCATTTGTTTAGAAACAATAGAAAAACACAAAATGCTTGACAATTTTACAAATCAGCTCATCACATTCTTACTCATCACATCACTTTTTGTCTACTTTAGCCAATAGCACACCATTGTGAAGGACCCACCAAAGTCACATTTTTTATTTTGGAGGAAACAATGTGCTATTGTGCTTGTCCTGTTTGCTCTTCACCTTAATCAGACAAGTAAACAAGGAGAAAGTGGTGTCACCAGGCAATAATGTCACCGGAACAAACTGCAACAAGACTGCAGTTCCTAAGACAACGTTGAGACTGAGTGGCTGGTGTTGTGTCACAGTGGGCTTGGCCACTGCCTAAAACACCTGCATCCCATGCAGGCAAAGGTTCCCGCCCCACTGCTGCACTTCTGATCCAGCCCTCTGCTAATGGCCTGGGAAAGCAGTGGAGGATGGCCAAGGGCGTGGGCCCCTGCACCCACATGTGGGGAAATACAGAAGAAGCTTTTGGCCCTGGCTTCTGAGGATGGAAGATCTCTCTCTCTCTCTGTAAAACTGTCTTTCAAATTAATTAATCAATTAATTAATTCATCAAAGAAGGAAGGAAGGAAAGAAGGACAGACGGAAAGATGGACCAACCAGTTGAGGCCAAACTGAACAGGGTTGCACATTCAAATCTATTCATAGTGAAATTCAACTTTTTCTACACGGCATTCTTACATGTAAGATGGCACCATGTGAGCACCTATTTACTTTTAAAATATTTTATTAAAATAAAAATTTTAACTGCATTACAAAATAATGAAATATGTTTAAAATATTCATTTATTTAAGATATGTTTTATACCTGCATAGATATTTATAATCATGAATAAATGTTACAATCACAATTTTCTCAGAGTTTCTTTTTCAGTAGAATTTACTTAAACTTGGATTTCATATTGAGTTATCTGATGGGTTAAAGCTCCTGAAACACTTGGAGACCTGAATAGAGTTCTGGGTTCCTGGATTCAGCCAGGGCCACTGAATACATTTAGGGAGTGAACCAGTAGACGGAAGTTCTGTGTGTGTATGTGTGTGTGTGTCTTTCTCCCTCTCCCTCCCTTCTTCTCTCTTGATCAGTTTGCATTGCAAATAAATAAACAAATCTTTAAAATATGTATTACTGTGGCATACTATATCATTAAACACTTATAATCCCAAACCTTTCTAAAATAATACAGAAATAAAAACACAAATATACAGAATTAATTCAGTACAGAAACAAAGCAGAGCTATAAATACCTGCAATCTAGAAATTTCACAGGGCATTGCGGTAATAGAAGCTGCAATGAGTTGAAACAATTTGCTTTATCATTGAGCCTGTAAAATGAAAAAATAACCTAGCCACATCCTGTAACATCAACCAAAGAAAAAAGCTGCAATTACAAAAATCAGAAAATGTAGTCCTTTAAAATTTTTGAGTGTCTAATGATTGATAAACATGGAATTAGGCTTAAATTGGATAAAATGATCCTCTGTTCCCTTTGTGCAGAAGCAGTGCTGAGTGCTGAAATGCAGAATCCATGCAGTCTCCGTTTGTCTCTAGTTTGTGGATATTGGAAATGAGATCTCTTGGATTTAAGGGGTTTCCTGGTATTTCTGTTGGGTTGGATTTGGTTTGGGTTTTGTTATGAGGCTTAATACTTTGGCCTGGGAAAGTGCAGTTTTAAAAGTTATGGGTCAGTGAGAGTCAAGGAGAGTGGATCCACCCTAGGACTGAAGGACCCTGAAGTGAAATGAGCAGGGACGTGAGGCTGAGATCTCTTCCCGGTGGGACACTGTGCTCGGAGAAGAGTGTTGGGCATCCAGGTCTCACCCCAGCACACTGAGAGTCAGTTTGTGTCTATGAACATCCTGCTTGCTGCAGGAAGTCCAAGTTACATGGAAAGAGCTAAGTCACCGATAGGAATCACCAAAACACAGCGCTGAGGTGCAGGATGGTGGTCGTTACAGGCCCTCAGTCTGCCTCTGCCTCTCGGCTTCGCTATCCACCCATCTTTCTCCCCCTCCATGTGTCTGTGCCAAATCATTTCCCAGTGGGAGTCTTGCTGAAGGTCAGAAGCATCTGAGAGGGCCTGGGCCATTGGGGAAGATGCATTCAGTAGACCCACTCTTAAAAATGTGGCCAGTGCTGTGGAGTGGGTCTCCTAGGACAAAAGTGGAAATCTGTACACAACATGCCAGCAAACGGGAGCTCTGGGGGGCACAGGTCAAGAGAGAAATGGAAACACAACAGTGTTGTCAACTGAGAGACGTGGGCCTTAACCCTGTGGTGACTGTTCTACTGTATTCTGAGTACCAAGTGGCTGTTAACCCTGTGGTGACTGTTCCACTGTATTCTGAGTGCCAAGTGGCTGTTCACGGACTGAACCATCTGCATGAAGCCTCAAAGAGGTGAAGGCTGGTTCTATGCAGTCTCTAAACACAGCAGGAGCCCAATCAGCTTTGCCTTGAGTACACAGACTTCAGGAGACCACAAAGGTAGGAACGTTGAATCTTCTGCTTCAGTAGAAGAAAACAGTCGAAATCTGGTAGATGGAGGTCTGAGAGCCCTGGGCTGCCTAATCTAAAAGTGGCCCCAAATTATTTCCAAGCCACAGCCTAAGCAGCACCATAGGATTAGGCACAGCCCAAGCTAGCTCCAATAGACAGTGAGCACTGTGCCAGGAAGTGTGATTACGTGATCCTTAGTGAACCCACATGATGTACTCACAGATATTAAAGCAGAAGACCAGAGAGTGCAACAGCTATCTAGATCAAGGAGTAATGAATAGTGATTTGATTAAAGCACAAAGAAGAGTCTATGAATTAACTATTTGAAGTTTTATAATTTTTGATTATTCATTTACTAGTTGGTGGTTATATACTAGTAAACATGGTTACCCATCTATCCATCTGATACCCATCTTTCTGTCCATCCATCCATCAACCATCCTTACATTCAGCCATCAATCTAAGACCTATCAATTCATCCCTTTATCTACCCAATCAACCATTCACTTATCCAACCATATATGCAACCATCCCTCTGTTCAATCTGCTCTATACAGAAACACAGGTACACATATTTTTTTGTGTAGCAAAGACAAGGACACTTTTAGTTCTGCCAGTCAATATTCCCCTAGTTTTTTCAAAATACCATTCTCCTCAAATTGCTGACATATCCTTCTGTGCTATCCATTTTCGACTCACAACCTTGCTGACTATTTCACTGACAAAATACAAAAATTCAAAAGAGAAGGTCCACAGCTCTCAGCTCTCACAACTCACTTGCATATTTCATCACATATTCTGCCTCCTTTTGCTCCTCTCACTGTCAGTTCTCCTGCCTACAGACACAGACCTCACAGTAGATTACATCTCACATCAGTGTTTCCTTCTCTACTGTGTCACTGCCATCATTGTAAAATGCTGTCATGTCACTAAAAATGGTTAAAAATTATCAGTACAAATCCTTGTCCAATCACAAGCCCATGGCACTGCCCCTCCAATAACACTACAGTGAAGCTCCTTCAAACAAACCCTCTAATTCCTTTTCTATAGTTTTCTTTCCAGTTTTCATCTTTGCCATTCCTCTGAGACCTCCATCACCAAGGTTCTCCATTGCCTACATGTAGCCTAATCCAGTGTGTGTGTTGGCACTCTTGTCATTTCATCCGTGAGCAGCATTTCACACACTGGATTATTCCTCTTGAGATACTTTCTTTACTTGTCTTCTAATAAGCCTTGTCTCTTGTTTCTCCTAAAACCCAGCAGTCGATCCTTTCAAATGATCATTTGCTGTTTTTCTTTTCACTGTCCTTGTGTCTCAAAGGACACACACTCACACGTGCATTCGTGCACAAATCAGTCCTTGAATCCCTTCCTTCTCTACCCTCACTTCCCAGGTGACCACTTCCTGTATCAATCTAAGATTACCAGGTTGGGCTTCCTCTGCACAATTCAGACATATGTATCCAGCTACCTGCTAACCTGCCTGCCTAAGAAAACACACACCTGGTTCTTCCCACAGTCTTCTCTAACATGGGACAGACAACCTATCCTTTGCAGCTGGGCAAGTCCCAGACCACAGCGTCAGTCCATCCCAGTCTACTTTGCAGGAATACCATGGCAGGACACCAGGCTGCTCTGCCAGTCCAGTTTGAAAGATGCCCTATGCTGCCCGCTCTCTCCACCTCCAGGATTATGCAACCTCTCATCTGAATCAGCCCCAGAGGCCATGCCCTTGTTGCCCTTGAACTGTAGTCAACACAGTGGCCAGAAGATGCTCTTCCATCATAAGCTAGAGCTCTTCCAATCAGTACAACCTGCTGCCTGCCCCTCTTATTTGGAGGAGAAGCCATGTAATCAGCAACATGCACAGAACAAAACAAACTCTCCGTTGGGTGTTGCCATCTCCAGGTCAGCTTGCTTTCCTGATGTGAGTTTCCTCTCCACTTTCCAAGCCCCTTCCTATCAGTGACACCGCACAGTGGCTGTGCCCATAGTCTGGAAGGTTCTACCCTAAGTGTCTTCACCTTCTGTAGCTCAGTGCAAATGCCACCATCTCAGTAAAATCTGTCCTCACCATCTGACGTAAAACGTACCCCACATCCCCCGGCTCTGTGTACCCGACCTGAGCTGCCTGGTCTACGTGGCGTGTAGACCACTGCGACCCTTAAGTGCTTATGTACATTTTCCCATCTTCCTCGCCAAGAATGTGAATTCCAAGAGGAAAGGGACTTTGGCTCTGTGCTCTGTGTTTGATCCCCAGCACTGATTATGGTGTGTGTTTTAGAGTCACACTCAGCAAATATTTGTCAAATAAATGAGTAACTCATATTTGATAACAAGAAATTTTCATTCAAAAGTCTGCATTATAATAAAACTGAAGTTATAACATATGGATATAATTATCATGTGCTATTGACATCTTACGTATTACAGCTTTGGGTATAAGTTCACATCCATGTATGAAGTTTGTTTTCTCTACTAGACTCTAACATTCGTAAGAGTAGAGCCTTCCCTTTCCTAAAATCAGTTGCAGCCAACTACTGGAGCCGTTGTGCTCTGCCTCCTGAGGTGTGCACAATCAGGAAGCGGAAACAGGAGCAGAGCTGGCATTCCAACCCAGGTCCTCCGAGAGAGGATGCAGTCATCCCAAGCAACATCTTGGTCCCTGTGCCAGACACACAGTACAATAGTTACATGTCAATCTATCCATCGCAGAAATGAAGCACAGTAAATACAGTTGACTTACCAAGGTCATACAGCTAATAAGTTAAAAAGCTTTACATACAATCAATGCTCCTTCTAATTTTTACAGCTATGATACAAAATATGAAATCATATCCTACACAATAACTACTAAAATTAAATTGTGCTCAAAGTGGCTATAATGGCCATGTATTTTGCATATATGATTTATTGGAATATTTGCTGTAGTATGAATAAATGTATGGACAATACAATGTATGCCATGAAGTCAGTCCTTAAGTCATCATAGTTATGTCCCATAAAGTTTGGAAATCCTCAAATTCATGATTACCAAATAGTTCACAATTTTCTCCATAGATAGCATATGTTATTAATGAAGAAAATTTATTGATATCTATAAATCTGTATTGATCCTATAGGCAGAGAAATAATGCTAATTTAAAAGTATTGAAATAAATTATATCTTTTTGCAACTTTCAGGTTTTACCTCTCATACTTGAAAAGTTTTGCACTGTCACCAAGTTCTTGTATCTGCAACAGTGGATTATAGATTTATTACTGATATCAACTTAAGCAGTCATGGGGCTGGTGCTGTGGCATAGTGGGTAAAGCTGCCACCTGCAGTGCTGGCATCCTATATGGTCATTGGTTGGAATCCCAGCTTCTCCACTTCTCAACCAGCTCTCTGCTGTGGCCTGGGAAAGCAGCAGAAGATGGCCCAAGTTCTTAGGCCCCTGCACCTGCGTGGGAGACTCAGAAGAAACTCCTGACTCCTGGATTCAGATGGGCCCAGTTCCAACTGTTGTGATCAATTGGGGAGTTAACCAGCAACTAGAGGACACCTCTCTCTCTCCTTCTTTCTGTGTAACTCTGACTTTCAAATAAATAAATCTTTATTTAAAAAACTGAAGCCATAATGAAGCTCAATATTGTATACTATAGTTCAAATCATCTTATTTTTCAACTCCACTGATAGCATCAGTTTTCATTACAAAACACATCCATAGAGCAGCAGCCATCTCATGCTCTATCTTTGAGGGAAAAGGAAACCTTTTTGATAAGTCTTCTCCTTAGACACTTCACCAAGGTTGCATTTTTACCTGCAGAGGAGCGTTATGAAAATGAACAGGCTGTCAATACACTTATAGCTGAAGCCTTTCCCTAGCTCAGGAACTGCACTGCCAGCTCGTTCCAAGGTTTCATATTCTCCCTCTTTGAGATGACTCCTGCATGATGGGAGGAAGCCACTAGTCAGCCAAATGCTGATGGGAAGGGGCAGGAGGCCAGGGATCACAGGCCCAGCCCACATTTGGCCAGCATGTCAGGCTGATCTTGTCATCTGAGAGACGGGAACAACTTTACCTTCCCAAGTAGCTCTGTGACAACAAGCCAGTGCTTGCAGCCTGGTCTTGTGGATGTGATCCGTAGTGATGGATCACAGCAAACAGACCAGCCTTTGTTGGCCCAGGGCCAGGCTCAGCAGAGACCCACTTCTGCTCCTGGAACCACCTGTCCAGGAAAAGCACTCAGCCCTCTCAGGTACAGTTCATGAAGAATCAAACATCCAGCCAAGTATCTGCATCCAATATGACTTGTGAAAAGCACGCACCAAATCTATATGCTGCCCACTCCTTCCTTCTCTGGGTCCATTTCCTTTCTTCCTTCTCATTTCCCTTGCTTCTCCACTTTCCCCTGTTTCCTTTCTTTTCTCCTTTCTTCCTGTATTTCCTTCTTTCCCAGTGGCTCACAGAACAAAGCCATCTACCTTAGACTTTGTCATGAAACAACACTGTGGTCTGATGCTGTAAGGGATGGGGATTCAGGGAGCAGCAGTGACTCTTCCTGCACTCAACTCACATCTCTGACCCAGAAAGATTTCCCCTTTGTTTTCATTGTTTAATATCCAATTTCAAAGTTTTCATTTTTTCCTTCCTAAACTTCAAAATCTGATTGCATTGGGAAATGGGTATCCTAAAAGTACTATCTACTAAGAATAATAAACTTAGTTTTTCTCCACCTAAGACTGACAACTCTGGATGGGTTGCACTTCTAGCCACATTTTCATGTCCAGAAGGAAAGGACATGAAGGACATTCTGTCCTGCTTTCCAACCTGAACTTCTCGTTAGCACAGAAAGACTCGGTGTTGGAAAGAGTGCTCTGGGAGCAGAATTGGTGCTAGAGAAGGAGGGGGATACTGCTCCCTCCAGGTTCACAGTGATGAGATTGTCCACCTGCTGCTCTCAGGCGAAAGGCCCAGTTTGAGGCTGGGGCCGAATTGAATGCCAGATGTCTTGGAATCTAGGACACAGATATCTTTACGTTGCTTTTCTTAAGTAGGGCCAGAGTTTTGGATGAGGGTGAAGGGAGGAGCAGACAAGAATCCTTTGTTCCAAGTGGTGTTCTGTAGTCAGGCATAATTTGGTTATTCATAAGAAAAGGAGGAGACAGGAAGGGGGGAGAATAATGGGATGCCTAGGTGCACCTGCAGATCAGAACCATATGGATGTGTCACTCTAAGGCTATTAAAGCTCATTGTTCTGTGAACTGGCACTGAGCTGCACTGCTGGAAACGCTATTGCTCATCTCCAACTTTGCGGTGTCAACAGTGGCACACATTTCTAATAGGAGGGGACAGCATTTGGGAAGCATATCACCTCCTCCCATGTCTTCTCCTTCTCTATTTGATGTCAACACTGCTGTGACAGGAAGACTGGCTTAGGTGTGGAGAGAAGGACGATGAGGTGCCGCTGGATCTGAGCCTTACAAGCTTCTTCTCTCCGTAGTTCCGAGTGCCTGCAACAGCATTGCCCAGTGATTAAGTACTACGCTCCGAGCGTTTGGGTCTCCCCGAAATTCAGAGCTTGGAATCAGAATATCCAAGGGGAGAGTACAGGAGGTGATACCCTGGGGAGGTGGCCCTCTCACAAATGAGGTTAATTCCCTTATAACAGAGGCCACATAGAGCTGCATTGCCTCTCAGTAAAAGGGCCCTCACCAGACACCAAATCTGTGTGCTCCTTGGTCTGCAATGCCTGAGCCTCTGCAAGTGTAAGAAATAAATGTCAGTATTTGTTAAGCTACAGAATCCCAAAGAGCAGACCGGAGCATTAAGAAAACAAAGATACCTGCTGCGCTCTCTGTGGAAAAGCCCATATAACTGCTGAATTGGGGCAGAGCACCCTCCGACACCCCTGGCTCATTGCTCCTTGTCACTGCGCAGGGTGCACAGGGGATTCCAGGTGGGAACACTTCCTGGTGCCCTGAGGATGACTGCTTGAATCCACGTCTACCAAGAGGGCTGCAATCGAAGAGGCTGGTGCATTGAGGGTCTAGGAGAAGGAATGGGGAAGAACATCCTCTGGCATTTGCTCTAACATAGAAGGGGATGTGGAGGGAGGTTTCACACGGTGCTTTCCATTGGTAATTTTTGCTGCACAAAGAAGCAATCCCAAACAGTAACTACTTCAGTGTATAAAGGTCCCTGGGGATCCATGGGTGAGGAGGTCACGGTCCCTGTGGCTGAGGGCTCCTGGCATCCAGGAAGAATGTAAGGGTCAACATGGAGGAGACATAGGAACATGTCACCCCTGAGCCCTGGAATAAGGACTGAGCTAGACGCCTGCAAGGGTCATGAAAAGGAGCAGTGGACATAGACGCCAGGAGGAAACCCCTGGTTCAGGCCAGGAAGGACTGAAGAAGCAGCACTGAGTGAGAGCAGGAGTCAGCAGAAGGCACGGTCTTGCAAAGAAATGAGATTTCCAGGCAGTGGCCGAAGGGCTCCTCCCCTCTACTGCCCCCAACACACACACACGGGCAGGGATCACAGGCAGAAACTCACAAGTGGCACAATAATTAGTCCATAATGGTCTCTCCAGAGTCATTCAATGCAGCTCAGAACTAAGGCTCTCTCTGCCTCTGGCTGTAGTTCATGGCTCATGTTTTAGGTGCATTTCTCTTTGCAAACTCTAAAACAGACCCAAGGAGGAAGAGGTAAGTTAACAATCTCATTTATATTTATCAGATTCCATGGAAAATATTATAACGCCTGCCTTCAACATGCATCAGGAAGGAGAAAGTGATCTATGTAAAGTCATCCATGCTCGTGTTTCCTAGCTGTGCATCACTTTCTACCCTGGGCACTCATCACACCCAGATCCCCAAGCCCCACAGAACAGCCCAGTCCCACAGGTGTGTGGGATGCAGCTAACGTGAAAGCCTCATGCACTTGACTGTTCTACAGGGAACATCATCTTCTAAATACTGACCCATAAAGAATCTGCTACAAATGCCCAGGGTAACAGTTCCTAGTTTCTCACATTGGTGTCCACCAGGCTTTCTCTGCCCACAGCCCTGGACCAAGGAACATACAAGGACTCTTTCAAGTGGATCACTCTATTCTTGCAATTTGATCAATCTGAGATACTCAATTCTTCAAATACAACAGAAACGGTGTCTGACTTACTTCTTCTTTGAAACACCTGCTTTTGCAACTTGAGAATGAAGAGAAGAGAGAGGAGAGAAGAGACCAAGGCTGCCTTCCTGGCCTCCTCACTGACAGCCCGACAGACAGGACGCTCAGTGGCCAGCCTCTTCCAACAGCGACTGTGCTCACAGCAGCACAAAGCAAGATGAGCAGCAACCTGGCAGCTGATTGGCGATAATGACTCAGCAAAGAGGTTAATGGATACTATTTCAGTTTGTAATTTCTTCATTTTTTTTTTTTACTTTTGCAAGTGTCTTGTAGGCCCAGTATGGGCCCCAAGTGACAACAAACTTGGTAACAAACAGCACCTGCTGTCAGTACACAGAGGGACCCAAGCACTGCCGTCCAAGCAAGGTGTACCTGTGTTGGAATTCGGAAGTCTACAGTGCATGCATTGCCTTTCTTCCTGAGGGGTGTTATTGGTAATCAGCTCTGTGATCTGAACAGTTAGACTGGACGAAAAACAATTGGGTGCGTCAGGCAGAAAGACTTAGGTTCCAATTTCTACGCTGCAAAGGGCCAAGGGATGAGACCATACCACCCCTAGATATCAAGTGGGAGAAACACTGTAGCACCTAAAATAACACCAGCTATACCATGGCACAGTCTAGGGACTTTAGATAATTGATCACAAGGGTAAAGTCATTATAGAGTGATTTCTAAAACTCACTATGATAAAAAACTCATTTTATGAACTTTTAATTTTTCATTTTATTTGCAAGTAAGGAAAAAATTGGAGAAAAGAGACAGAGAGATTCTCCATCCACTGGCTTACTCCCCCAATTCTCCCACCAGCCAGGGCTGACCCAGGAGCCTGGAACCCAATCCATGTCTCCCATGTGGGTGGCAGGACCCCAAGCACTTGAGTCGTTCCCGCTGCATTAGCTGGATGCTGGATGGGAAGCAGAGGGGCCAGGACTCAAAGTCCACATTCCAATATGGGATGTGCGCATTCCAAGCAGCATTGTAACTCTCGTGCTAATCACCTGGCCTGGTAGAAAATGTTCAAAACTACAGGTGCTTACAAATTTCATTGTAGGGTCTCAAAGTACTTACAAGAGGAATTCCTCCAAAATGAATATTAAACTAATGAGTTAGAAACACTTGCTTATTGAAACTGCTCAGGATTCCTTTTCTTTAGGTGGGAAATGAGAATAGTGCCCATGCTTTAAAAACTTGAATCAAGAGCACTCATTTCTGTATCTTCCAAGGTGGGCATTTCATTCATCCTAGAAGGAATTATTTGTCTATATTACTTTCCAAATGCATATATAGTCACTGAGTACAAAGAAACAGAAACATTATTAACTTGAAGCAGGCGATGATGCCAATGAAAGTGCCAGGCATCTTGGCTAAACTTTTATTCAGACGCAAGTTCAATCTCTCTTCCCTTGTGAAGCAGTTACACTGCAGTCCAATTACTTTCTTGAGCACGCACTGTCTTAAATCGCTCTCCTGTTGTTTCTCGGCTATGTCTGCTGCCCTGGAGAGTTTACAACCTACTTAAATCAGGGGCCACTTCTTCTGTTTCCCACGATTCCCCATCACCAAGCAGTAACTGTGCCCAGAACCCCACGGGAATTTGTTTGACAGTCCGGTTCCACATTCACACGGCACACTCTGACAGCTGCCAGTCTACCTGGCCATGGAGGAGACCCATACTAATCCTTTCCCTCCTTTATCCTACGTTAGGTTCTGTTGGGTCTCACGAATCAAAATTAGAAATTCTGTGCCAGTTGCTGCTAAGGGCTGCTGCTCAGCACCGTTGCCAGCCAATTGCCTAGTTAGCATCCTGCCCCTCATACTGACATCTGGGCCACAAATGGACAACGTACAGGTCAGTGGTCCCACCACATATCACTCACGATATATAATCTTGATGAGTGTGTGTGTCATTCTGTGATGTTCACAGGGCAAGCAAATCACCCAATGATAATCAGTGTGTGTGTCATTCTGTGATGTTCACAGGGCAAGCAAATCACTCAATGATAAATTTCAAAGTGGACAATGTGCTCATTTGGTCCCGAGAAGATTTGGACTGGGGGTGATTTTATGACGAAGGAAATATTGGCATGGAAAGCAAAGTCCTTAAGCCAATATAATCGAATCTTTTACCTGAAAATGTCACATGTGAGGTGAAGTTTGCCCTCACCATAGAATGAGGCCACGGCAGAAGGAAGCATGCTCAGGATGTGCCGTGGGAAGACTGGATAGACGCACACTCCTAAACAGTGTTCCCTGCAAGCCAGGAACACTGACTTAATATTGTCTTCTAGCACAATGCTGGAAACCCTAACCATAATACATCTGACGGAGAGCTTACCAGAAGCTAGGTACTGGTAAGCCCATTTCCTCCTCCACGTAGCCAGTGGGAAAAGGCTACCAACGTACCTGCTTTAACAAAGGAAGTTAGAGTGATGGAGTTAAGTGACATGTCCCAGGCCATCACAGCAGTCCATGCGGAGGAGAAGCAACCCAGGCAGCGGGACTCCCTAGCTAGCTTGCACCCAACACCCTGTGCTGCTCTGCACGCTACAACCCGGAGAAAAGGCAGGCTTCGGACACTTAGTAAGGGATGCTTTTCTGAATAATTTGAGCTGTTTTGTCAACTCCTGGAGTGCTATGTCAGTGGCTGGGTCCTTCACACCTGAGGTACAGAGAAGCAAGTGTCTCTGAGCTTGTCCCCTAGGCTGGCCCCGTGGTGAGGATATACACAGGCCTGGACAAGTGGCACTGCCCACAGCTCCTCCCAGTGCCCTGCCCTGGTCTGCCCTTCCAATAGGCTTCAGGAGATTGCAGAGAGATGGTAAAGACTGAGACAAAGTTTTCCGGTTGTGATTGGGCCCGGTCTAAATAGGTAAATCCGATTCTTTCTGCTGAAGGACATCTCCGGACGCCCGGAAGGCAGACCCCGATCTGCTCAGTCTCTGGAAACAGGCTGAGTGTTCTCTGTTGCAGGCTGCATGCTGGCCTCGGTGTGCCTGCAGGCAGGAAGGGAAGGGGCTCCTGCTGACCAGGTCACAGCCTCCCCAGCACGCGCCTGTGACGTCGGTGTCCCCAGCGTGGCGAATGTGTGCTGGGGGGTGGTCCTTGGACCCACAGAATTCCAGGGAGGCTTGACCAGCCCAAGGCATGTCCTGCCTCCCACCATGAGATACTGATGACACTGTGAGATCCATGCGGGCAGAGGAGGGTGCGGTGGCTTTGGGGAGTGACCCACGTCAGAAGGACATTCAAGGCGGGAATCCTGCTGCCTGCCTGCTGAGGCCTTGACACACATTCATTTCCTATCCAAGGATATTAACAGAATAGAACAAAGGAGACCATGCATAGGTCACAAGGGCTAACGAGCCAGGCACAGGGTCAGGGCCCAGTGAGCAGGCACTGTCTGGGACAATGAGGTAGCCTCCTTCTGTCCTCCATGAAACTTTTCACTTCCATTGACTTTCCAGTTTGGTAAAAACAGGCAACGATTTATGTACATGTTTTGGTCCATAAAAATCAACAGCAGCCAAGTGCATCTCAGAGCTCCTAGGTTAAATGTAGGACACAACCCAAAGGTAGCACCCACCCAGACCAGCACAGAAAGAGAATTTAAGAAACTCATGCCCAGGACACTTGCTTGGCAAAACAGTTATGAGCACCACGAGAGGAGACAGGTGACTGACAAAGGGATTGTGCCGGTGCCACCCAGGTGAGAGGTCCAGATGGAGTTTCCAACTCCCGGCTTTGGTCTGGCTCAGTACTGGCTGTGGTGGGCACTTGGGAGGTGAACAAGCAAATGAGATAGCCATTCTCTCTCTCTCTCTCTCTCTCTCTCTCTCCTCTGACCCCCCTTTTGTGTGTGTTACGTGTCTGTCCTCTCTCTCCCTCTGTAACTATACCTTTCAAATAAATAAAATCAATTGTAAGAAAAAGACAGACACTCCCTGCCTCCTACCACGATGTTTTGATGCTATTTCCCTATCAGTTCTCTAAAACCTGGCTCAACCTAAGTATCAAACGCCCCTAAAGATAATACTAAAGAGTTAAAAGTTTAAACTTATACCTAGTATTATACCTAAGTCTTACACATGGTATTTAAACTTCTGCTTTGTGTTTCCTTATGCAGATTATGTGGATGAAAACAAATTGCTTCCCAATTAAACTCACTAAATTGAGCGAGGCACTTAGGGGCCATTCTCTCTCAGGAGAAACAGAATGGAGTCCAGAAAGCAGGCGCTGCTGAGCCAAGGAGCTCATTACGGAGGCTCCGGTGGGGTCTGGTGATCCACGCAGCACCCACACCCCTCTCCTTGTGATCAGCCCCCACGGCTCTGCCTCCCTGCAGCCTTGGTGGATTTACGCTGAGGCTCAGGGGTGGGCTCCAACCCTGACCCTCGGATGCTGGATTTCAAAACCTCGGGGTGAGAAGTGCTTGGGATCTCTCAGCTCAGCCGTGTCCTCAGTCTATGTTGGGCTAGGACCTCTTGATGTCCCTGTGCCCTCTGAGCAGCCTGGTTCCTTCCAGTCCACGCCACGTGCTGCTGCACACCTGACGATGAGTGTCCAGGAGGGACACACATGCTGCCTGCTTGGGTGGCATCACTTCTGAAAGCTGGGGGATGCTTTGTGGGGAGCAGAGCCACACGGGGCAGGAGCCTCTCTTACTGGTGAGTTCTGATGTTGCTCCCTGAACCTGTCTGCACTTCCTCTGGGATAAAGAGACAGAACAGCACTACTGTTTGGCATAAAGAACCAGAAAATATACATCTGCAAATCCAGGAACCCTGTGGTTTCTCAATAAGAAATACTGAGTGCCCATTTGTTCTCAGACAATTCCAGATATGTCTTTACAATAAAATCATGCATTTTATTATCAATGAAGATTTAAATACAGTATTCTGCTGAAATATTAAAACACACAATCATTGTATGGGCACCTGCATTTTATTCATAAATTTAAGAGAAATATTATTGGTGTCAAGATTTCTGAGATAAGAATGTCACTTAGGTTCAGATAACTTATCATTTCTTTTTTTTAACTTAGTCTTACTGTTGGTTGCAATTGCTCAGGGTCAATAATTCACTTTAAAGTGCGTATTTTGACCACTGGCTCAGCGTGCAGCCTGTGCACACCTGCTCCACGCTGGGCTGGCAGCTTTCTCTCTTGGCAGCCTCACATCACTTTGGTCCTTAGAAACATGGACTATTTAAGTCTTTGGTGTCACTGCCTTTTTAGTAAAAAGAAAGCTACAATCTGACCACTCTCCACCAAATAGGCATTGGGATTTAGCAGCCTCGCTTCCTCACTTCCCTTCAGACACAAAGTCTCACTTGTCAGCTCACCTCCACGTCTCGGACAACTCCGAAATGAGATGAAATGACAGAGGGCCCTGCGCACGCGTCTGGAAATGGACTTGACTCGAGGGTCTACTCAAGGGCTCTGGCTCCTGCTATTTTCCCTCTGCATTCAAACAGGAAGGCGCCTCCACACAGAGGATGGCTCCTGCATCCCGTTCTCAGGCCCTCTCCACAGGTACTGCTCTGACACACTTCTGACCTAATCTCTTGACTTGGCCCCAGTTTGCCAAGGTGTTTTTTTTTTTTTCCCCAGTGAAATAAATTTAAAACTCATTCTCCCTTTTTATTTGTGCTTTGTATATTTTTTCTTATAATTAAAGTGACAACCAAAAAGTGGCATTGGTGCTGTGGCACTGCAGTGCTGGCATCTCCTATGGGTGCTGGTTCAAGTCATGGCTGCTCCACTTCCAATCTCACCTCTTGCCAATGCACCTGTGAAGGCAGCCAAAAATGGCCCAAGTCCCTGGGCTTCTGCACCCATGTGGGAGACCTGGAGGAGTCTGCTGGCATCAGCCTGGCACAGCCCTGGCCATTGTAGACATTTGGGGAGGGAGCCAGTGGATGAAAGGTCTCTCTCTCTCTCTCTCTCTCTCGGTCTCTGTCTCTTCTTCACTCTATATAACTCTACCTTTCAAATAAATAAATAAATCTTTTTTTTGTCTATCAAATATACCATGTGAGGTTATTGCAATTTCTTATTTAATTATTGTTTATAGCAATTGCCTATACTCATGCTGAACTAGGGTCTCTACTTTTTACTTGTTGGATATTTAGGGGAACACTAAGCATTTGACAATAATTTAAGTTTAAACTATGTTATCTCAAAAACTGATGCAGGAGGGAAGGAAGGAAGGAGGGAAAAGGAGAAGGGAAGGAGGGAATATAATTATATTCTTAGAACTGTATCTATTGAAAGATAAGCAAATAAATAAAAATATATGAGTACTGAGGGATATCTTCATGCATAATGATAATGATAATCTAAAATCACTTTTATCACCAATTTCTGACAATGACACCTTCCAAATAAAACTTAGATCTGTCCAGTTCTCGCCAGCCACATCTGAGCGAAGACTCACCTGGCCGACCACTCTGTCCTTACCTGGTCTCCTAATCACCATAGAATTCTCTGCACACTGCAGCCTGTCCTCTTCAATAAAGCCTTGATTGTGGACTCCCTATTTCAGGACCATCCTTGTCTTCCTACTGTACTCAGAACAAAGCACATCACCCTTATAATAGACTACAGGGCCCAAAATAGTCTTATCTCAGTGTGCTCCCATCAGCTTTGTCACCGCCTGGAACTTGCTCCTGTCACATGCGTGCCCACGTTATTGTGTCCTCCGTTCTCACCTTTGAAGACCCGGTTCTCAGGGAAACTCTCCCTTCCGTTCTCCATTAATTGGCTCTGCTTGTTATGCTTCCTCAAGGCACTTCACACTCAGGCTCTCCGTCTGCCAGGACCTCTGTGTGGGTCACGATCTACTATGATCGTCTGTTCTCAGGAGGGCAGGTCCCCAGGTCCCTTACCCATGCTTCTGCTGAGCCCAATGGGTGCACAGAGCCGGCCCTAAACAAATTTCTGCAACACAAGCCTGGAGGGCAGTTATGGAGAGGAGAAATATCAATGCGCTAATTCCACTGCAGATGAAAAATGGGGCACAGAGTGATTTTTAAGTTGGAAACAGAAAAGGGTGGAGAACAACGCCTTCCAGCATGAATCTCTTACACCACCATTTCACGCACTACAAACAATATAAGGGGTCAAAAGCAGGGCTGGCGCTGTGGCATAGAAGGCTAACCCTCTGCCTGCAGCCCTGGCGTCCCATAGGGGTGCTAGTTCCAGTCGTGACTGCTCCACTTCCCATCTAGCTCACTGCTTATGTGAGTGGGAAGGCAGCAGAGTTTGGCCCAGGTCCTTGGGCCCCTGCACCCATGTGGGGACCCAGAAGAAGCTTCTAGCTCCTGGCTTCAGCCTCACCTAGTCCTAGCCCATTGTGGTCATTTGGGGAGTGAATCAGAGGATGGAAGATTCTGTCTCTCTCTTTCTCCATCTCTCTGTATTTCTGCCTTTCAAATCAATAAACACATCTTTAAAAAAATTTTATGAAAGGGGCTGGTGTTGAGGTGCAGAGGGTTAACGCCCTGGCCTGATCCCATATGGGCACTGGTTCTAGTCCCAGCTGCTCCTCTTCCCATCCAGCTCTCCACTATGGCCTGGGAAAGCAGTAAGAAGATGGCCCAAGATCTTGGGCCTCTGCACCCATGTAGGAGCCCCAGAAGAAGCTCCTGGGTTTGACTCCTGGCTTTGGATCGGCACAGCCCCAGCCATCGTGGCCATCTGGGGAGTGAATCATCAGATAGAAGACCTCTCTATGCCTCTCTGCCTCTCCTCTCTCTGTGTAACTCTGACTTTCAAATAAATAAATACATCTTTTAAAAAATTTATGAAAAAAGAGGTCAAAGGGACTCAGACACCAATGTACTCTAAGTCCCTTGAATTTATACCTTCCATGTATGTGAAATGAGAAAGGGTACATTAACTTTCAGAAGCAGGCAGAATGTCTGCACCAGTGTGAGTTCTCAGGATGCTGTGAGAACTACATAGGACTTTATTAGCATAAGTCAATCACAGCTGATAGTCTTTTCAAAATAAACTTTAAAAACCTTGAAGTGAAAGAACTGTGATTTTGCGTGAAAATTAAAGAAGAAAATCACCAGTCTTTCTGAACACTGTGACATTTGAATGCTCTAGGTAAAGGGAAGAATAAAAAATTCATAATAGCATAATTAGAAATGATTAGTAAACACGAAAGTGTGCAGCCCCACTAGCAATCAAAGAGCTGTAAATTAAACAAGTTTAAAAGCATTTTCCCTAGCAAATGAGCAAAGAATTATGTCTATCCTAATACTTCAAGCTATAATAGGACAATTGTAGTGAGCATAAATCAGTACATATTTCCAGAGAATAATTTTCTAATTTCTTATTAAGCACCTTAAAATATTTTAATAGTACTGTCTTCCTTCCTAGTAACTATTTTTTTAAAGACTGTGTCAGTCCATTCTGCATGACTGTAATAAAACACATGATGCTGACTACCCTGCAAAGTGGGTCATGTGGCTCATGATCCTGGTGGCTAAAGGTCCAGACCCCCTGTACTATGTCCTGGTGAGGGCCACCATTGGGATCAGTAGACAGGAGTCAGCTGTGTGCAGAGGAGACCCCACAGTGAGACAGAAGCCTCAGGTTCAGGGGCTAGAGTTGCTCTTCTGTAATGAGTCACTCTTGGGTCAACTAACAGGGTCCCTGGAGGGAGAGTGAGTTTACTCTGAGGGCAGTCCCCAGTTCCTCCATCACCTCACCCAGCCCCACCTCTTTTTATTTTATTGAAGTTATACAGATTTCATACATTTCATGTATACAGATTGAGGAACATAGTGATCTTTCCTACCCTACTCTCCCTCCCACTCACACTTCTTGCTCCTCTCTCTCCTATTCCCATTCTTAATTTTTACAAAGGTCTATTTTCAGTTTACGTTATACTCATAAGGTTAATCCTACACAAAGTAGAGTTCAGAAATACTAGGAAGAAAAAAACACTGTTCCTCAACAGTAGACATAAGGGCTATAAACAATCATTGGATCTCAAAACATCCATTTCTCTCCTATACACTATATTTTAGATACTCTATTAGTTACTCTGGATCAGGGAAAACATGTAGTATCTGTCTTTTGGGGCTGGCTTCTTTCACCAAGAACAATGGTTTCCAGTTACATCCATTTTGTTGCAAAAGACAGGATTTCATTTTTTTTAACATTTTGTATACAGCTAAGTAGTACACTGTAGTATATATATACACCACAATTTTTGTCTTTATCCAGTCTTCAGTTGATGGACATCTGGGTTGATTCCATATCTTAGCTATTGTGAATTGAGCTCCAATGGACATGGGGTTCAGATCCCACCTCTTAAAGGCCCCAATTCTTCAGCACCCTAGGGACCAAGTTTTTTTTGTTCAGAAACCTATAGGGGATCAACTACATCCAAAATACGATGAAGATTCAGAAATGTGTGCAAAGGGATGCAAGAGCCAGACTGCTGCTAGTCCACGGTTCCATGAATGACTGGGAATGGGCAACCCTCTCCAGGGGGACAGACCAGCATCCGCCTCCACCATTGCTGAATGGAGTCCACGCTTCCTGCTTGGGAACCTGCACTAATGCAGCCTCTCTGAACAGCCCTGAGCAGGACACCAGTCCAGTCACTTACGGGGCTTGTGGGCAGTGGGCTTCAGTTATAATCTACATTTGAAGCTATTGGAGAATTTATAGTAAGGCATTATGATGAAATACTACAGCCATTTAAATTGATGTATTAAAAGGGTTTTAATATAGAAAAAGTGGTCCATATCTAACCTTGCATGAAGAGTCAGAATGTAAAATTTTGATGCGTAATACAGTGATTAATGTGTGAAAATAGAAAGCCTGGGAGACCAGGCTAGTAGAGGTCTTCTCTGCCTGGGGAGTCGGGACTGTTCTGTCTCTCTTGGAGTTAAGACTGAGGCTGGAATCTGGAATCCACTCTTTGTGTAGATTCAGAGAGCCTGAGCAGTTTGGGAGGGACAGGAGGAAGCGGGTCTGCATGAATATCTTGCTTGTGGCTGGAGGAATGGCAATGTTGTTGACTGATACTGCACTGGAAATGGGACATCACTCGGAAGTCCCAGGGGAGTTGCTGCAAAAGCTGCCCTAACCTAGGCTGGAATTCTACAGGGAGGAGACTCACGTTGCATCCTACAAATGTGAGCCTCTGAGCTTGCTTTGCAGAGGTTCCAGAAGCCCAGCGGAAGTCATTGTTCTTCCACTCGCCCACTCTGTTCCTTGCCCTCCTTGGACTTGGCTCCTAAGCAATAGAGCCTACTCAGGACAGTGATTGCCAGACTTGAACAGTGAGCATTTATTATGCTTACAGCCAGGGAAGATAGAGAGGGAAAGAAGCCAGACATGGGTACATGAGCAAATAAATTATCCATGGAGATGCTGTTATGTGATTCTGTCTTAGCCATCAAAAATCATATGTCCTTAAAACACATGCATGTGCTATGTTGCAACCAGATCAACTTTTGTGTGGATTCTCAACTGGGGCTATGGGATGTTGATAGATTGAGCTCATAACCAGAAACCCCTGTCCTGTCATGTCATTATTCACTATTTATCCAGGGAGGGAAGACGTAAAAACAGACCAAGTAAAGAGGGATAAGAAAATTGAGTGGGAATCATGTTACTGTTTTGTACTGTGTGTGTTGCTTTCTCCCATAAACACATAACCTTGGTGGAGGGTTGCGCCCAGAGTGATTTCCTGTAAGTAGTGCTATCAGCTGCTGTGAGGGTCTCCTTAGAAACTGTAATGCCCAGCCTGGCATCGACTTGCCCTTCAACCAGATCCCGTGTGATGTGCATGTACATTCAAGTTCAGGTTGCCTGGTGCAGGCTGCCCGTCTTCTGGGTGCCATGTGGCTGTGCAGATCTACACGTCTCTGACTGAATCACTCACACTCAGCCTAGAGAGATCAAGTGACTGCACATTTACAAGAAGCCAGGAAGTTCAGGTGAAGGTGCAGAGGGATGGCTGCCTGGTGCCCTGGGGAATGGTATAGGACAAAACCACCCAGGAACTGGGATTCTAGCAGGCAGAAGCAGTCATGAGGAGATGCTCTGAAGGCTGTGTGTTCTCACTCACACGTGGAAGCTGAAACAAGAGATACCACGGAAGAGGGTAGAATAGTGATCAGCAGGAATAGGCAGGATGGCTCAAGCAGGGTTGATGCCACGGAAGAGGGTAGAATAGTGATCAGCAGGAATAGGCAGGATGGCTCAAGCAGGGTTGATACCACGGAAGAGGGTAGAATAGTGATCAGCAGGAATAGGCAGGATGGCTCAAGCAGGGTTGATACCACGGAAGAGGGTAGAATAGTGATCAGCAGGAATAGGCAGGATGGATCAAGGAGGGTTGGGTGGCAGCTACCAGAACAGCCAAGGAGCAGGAACCAATCACAGGAGGTCGATTGCAACAGCATATAATCAACTCTGTTACCTACTAGAAGAGAAGAGCTCGAGGGCTCCAAACACAAAGAAACACTGGGTTTAAAAAAACACAGAAAGGCTAATTATCCCAATTGGATAATTATACACTATATACACATATTGAATTATCACTCTATTCCCTGTAAATGTGTATACAAATTATATGTCAATTAACAGTAAATTTAAAAACGTAAAGGAAGTTAGTGGAAAAGAAGGTCTTTACATTTCTGTCAAGTAGAGAAATAAAGTAATGGATATATGAGTTTGTAAATTCCAAAAATAATTCAAAGTGTAATCAAGCCGAATGAAGCTAAGTTCAATTTAGGCTTAATGGTAAAATACCATATAACCAAGAATATCAAATAATATAGATTTTCCTTTCAGAATACTGAATTGAAAGCATATATGGGAGTGGGCACTGTGATGCAGCAGTTAATTCCACTGCTTGGGACTCCTGCATCCCACATTGGACAGCCAGGGTCCGAGTCCTACCTCTGCTTTTGATCCAGCTTCCTGAGAGTGTACACACTGGGAGACAACAGAGGATGGTTCAAGCATCTGGGTCCCTGTCACCCAACTGGGAGACCCAGATGCAGTTGGCTGGCTTCAGCCTGGTCCAGCCATGGCTGTTGGGGGGATCTGGGAAGTGAACCAGAGGATGAAAGCTCTATCTGTCTCTTTCCTTCTGTCTCCCAAAATTGTTTTTAAAATAAATAATCATATATGTGCCTTTAACATAGATATATTTTAAATGATAGATTTGAATTGTTTCTTGGGTTCACAAATCATCCCTCTCCTATTATAAGAGCACTAAGGTGCCTCTTTAAGACTGAAGGATTTTGTTAGCTGAGGAGTAAGAAAAGAGGTATTTATTTTTCTAAGCACAACTCACTTCAAGGAATGCTAAGAAAACTTTCAACGTCCCCTTCTGGGGTCATCCTGAGTAGATCCCCTAAGAATAAAAAACGCCTGATTGATGTGATGGATATAACAAAATTTAAGTCTTAGAATCTTTGCCACCATTGAATAATAGCAGATGACCTCTTAAACAATCAAAAGCCTGGAGTGGAACAAATTGATAAATGTTCCCAAAATCATATATCATCACTTAAACTGTAAAATCACCATTCTTTGCATGTGTGTTATAAATATTTTTCTACCTGTCTTCAATGAGTGTCGCTCCCCCTCTTCGTGGAGGAACGACACAGGCCCCTGTGCTGTTCTTTCGTCTGCTCGGCCCTCCCCGGGTTTGCTGCTGGTTCTTCCCGGGTTGGCTACTGTCCCTTCCACCTCCGTGGAAGGGCGGTTCCCCCTGGCCACTTTCCCCACTTCCGCAGGGGAGCGGCACACCGCCGGCCGGCTCTCTCGGGGGCTGCACAGGTGTTCCTTCAGATGTTCCTCTTAGATGTTCCTGGTGCATGCCGTCTCTCTCCTCCTTTATAGTCCTCCTCTGCCAATCCCAACTCGGCTGCCCACACGCCGAGTACGCTGCTCTCCTCCAATCAGGAGCAAGTCCTACAGTTTATTGGCTGAACTGGAGGCAGCTGTGTAGAAGCTGTTTTCTTCTCTCCCAGCGCCATATTGTGGGAGAGCAGATGCATAGAATAAGTCTTAATTCCAGTAACTTAGTCTAGTCCGAGTTGCTCCCAGTTGCTCCCCACAAATGAGTCATGACAAACCAAATTCCAAATCCGTACTTCACACAACACACCCAAATGCCTATGTCTGCATTGCAATTCTTGCCTGACTTCTTTGTAAATGTCTGTGTTTGTAAACAAGTTATTCATGCCTGACTTCTTTAACTCCACTCGCATTATTAAATATGTTATTATAATTCCCCATATGTTAATACAGGACACACCCCTGGGCAGGTGAAAACAGGAGAGACAGACAGACAGAGACAGATGGTGACAGAGACACAGTTCACCTTTCCTGGCAGCTAGATCCTCACCTTTGACAATGACAGGGAACAGGGTACAAATTAGGTAGCACCTACTCCCATCACCAAAAATCCAATTTAACAGGCAAACTCTCTAAATGGAGACTTACATGGGAGATTCTCAGTCCAGGCCATGCTGCAAAATTTTGGTTATGTTAAGAGACTACAGGTTCACAAAAATTTAGCTATTTCCCTTAGTCAACCCAGGAAGGATGATTATCCTACCCAAGAAAACCTGAGTTGTGATCCCCAATCCTTTTTCTTTGAGCCACCACAAAAGACCCAGAACAGCCAAGGTATTCCTGAGAAAAAATACCAAGCTGGAGGCACCACCAGCAATACTGAATTTCAAAGCCTACTAAAAAGCTATAGGATTTAAAACAGTGTAGAATGAACATAAAAGCCAGCACATAGATCAACAGAACAAAATACAGAGCCCCAATTTAATCCATCTATATGCAGGGAGCTAGGTTTTCAGAAGATGTCAGGAAAACACATAGGAGAAGGGATGGTATTTTCAATAAATGGTGTTGGCAAAACTGGACATATATATGTAGAACAATGAAATTAGAGTCCTGCCACTCACCATATAAAAAAATCAAATTCCAATTCAATCCCATCAAGGTGGCATGTACCAATGCCATCTCACTATTCCAAGTGATCAATTTCAGTTCACAATTGATCATAATGAAAGGACTAAGAGTCAAAGGGAGCACATAAACAAGTCTAGTACCTGCTAACACTAACTGATAGAATAAATAAAGGGGAGAGTGATCCAACATGGGAAGTGAGATACTCAGCAGACTCATAGAATGGCAGATGTCCTAAATAGCACTCTGGCCTCAGAATCAGCCCTAAAGGCATTCGGATCTGGCTGAAAAGCCCATGAGAGTATTTCAGGCATGGAAAGCCAAGACACTCTGGCAAAAGATCTCTGTGAGTGAGATCCCAGTGGAAAGAACAGGTCTTCAAAGAAGGAGGTACCTTTCTCTGAAGGGAGGAGAGAACCTCCACTTTGACTATGACCTTGTCTAAACAAGATAAGAGTCAGAGAACTCAGAGGGCTTCCATAGCCTTGGAAACTCATGACTGGAGCATAGGGAGATTACTGATGCCATAGACAGGAATGTCAATTGGTAAAGTCAACAATAGGAGTCACTGTGCACTTACTCCTCATGTAGGATCTCTGTCCTTAATGTGCTGTGCATTGAGATTTAATGCTATAACGAGTACTCAAACAATATATTTCACTTTGTGTTTCTATGGGGGTGCAAACTGTTGAAATCTTTACTTAATGCATACTAAACTGATCTTCTGTAAAAAAAAAAAAAAAAGAAATTATCAATTCCCAACTTGACTCTCACTGGGATTAAACATGACAATAGGTCTGATCTGATTTCATCATCATTAAAAAAAATCATCTATTATTTTTCACTTTATGTTTCTGTGTGGGAGCAAACTGTTGAAATCCTTACTTAATGTATACTAAGCTGATCTTCTGTATATTAAGATAATCGAAAATGAATCTTGATGTGAATGGAAGGGGAGAGGGAGTGGGAAAGGGGAGGCTTGTGGGTGGGAGGGACGGTATGGGGGGGAAGAAATTGTAATCCATAAGTCGTACTTTGGAAATTTATATTCATTAAATAAAAGTTAAAAAAAAAGAAAAAAAGAAAAAAAAAGATGGATCAAAGACCTAAACATAATTCCTGAAGCTGAGAACTTTGTAAAAGGAAACAGGAGAAACACTTTTAGGACATTGAGGGACGTAATAATTTCTTGGACAAGGCCACAGAAGCACAGGCAACAAAAGGAAAACTTCACAAATGAAATTATATCAGACTCAGAAACTTCTGCACACCAAAACAAATTGAGTGACGAGACATTTTACAAAATGAGAGAAAATATTTACAAGCTACTTGACTGACAAAATATTAATGATGAGAAAACAATCAGGAACTCAAAAAGCTCAACAACAATAAAACAACCAATCCAGTTAAGAAATGAAAAAATGATCTGAAGACAGTTCTCAAAATAAGATATTTATGAAAAAATGCTCCATATCAGTAGGCATCAGGGAAATGCAAATCAAAACAACAATATATCACTTGCCCATGTTAGAATGGCTATCATTTAGAATGCAGAAAATAATACATGCTGGCACAGATGTGGAGGAAGGAGAATTCTTATATGTTTTTGGTGGGAATGTAAAGTAGTGCAGCCAGTGTGGAAAGCAGAATGGAGATTTCTTTTTGTTTTTCCTTGTTTTCCCCAAATAAACTTTTACTTAGTGAGTGCAAATTTCCTAAGTACAACTTCAGGAGTATAGTGATCCTACCCACCATACGCACCCTTGCACCTCACCTCCTCCTCCCTCTCCCATTCCCAGTTCCATTCTAGATTAAGATTCATTTTCAATTAAATTTATATACAGAAGATCAACTCTATACTAAGTAAGGATTTCAACAATTTGCACGCACACACACACAATCACACACACCCCAAAGTCTGTTTGAGAACAAGATTTACAGTTAATTCTCATCACACAACTCATTGAGGACAGAAGTCCTGCTTGGGAAGTGCACAGTGATTCCTATTGTTAATTTAACAATTGACACTCTCATGTATGACATCAATGATCACCTGAGGCTCTTGACATGAGCTGCTGATGATATGGAAGCCTTTTGAATCCACAACCCTGTCAGTATTTAGAAGGCCATAAGCAAAATGGAAGCTCTCTCCTCTCTTCAGAGAAAAGTACATCCTTCTGTGATGACCATTTCTTTCCACCAGGGTCTCACTCCCAAAGCTTCTTCATTTAGTACATTTTTTGCCACAATGCATTGGCTTTCCATGCCTGAACTGCTCTCATGTGCTTTTGAGCTAGCCCAGGAAGCCTTAAAGGCTGATTCTGAAGTCAGAGTGCTATTTAAAGGGATTGTCATTCTGAGTCTGCTGTGTGGACCACTTCCCATGTTGGAACACTCCCTCCTTTTTAATTACATCTATTATTATTACAGACATTTGGTCTTATTTATATGATCACTTTAATACTTAATCCTAGCTATATGATCACTTTCATGCTTAATATGGTCACTTTAACACTCAAGATGGCATTTTTACCACCTAACTTAATGGGATTTGAGATCCCATGGCAAGTTTTTGAACTTACTCTTGGAAGTAAGCCCATAGGAATGCATGCAGAACTGCATAGCTTTACAGTTACAAACTTCATCCTCCCTCTCTTATTCTCTTATTTTTTTTACTGAGATCTATTTTCAATTGACTTTATAGACATATGATTTACTCTATGTTAAGCAAAGAGTTCAACTAATAGTATGATGAAGAGAAAGAAAAAAAACTGTTCTTGGACAGTCAAGACAAGGGCTGTTCAAATCATTGCTTTTCAAAGCGTCAATTTCACTTTTACAAATTTCCTGGGGGGAGGAGGCAAGATGGCGGAATAGGAAGGGAGCACACTGATAGTCCGGGGAGAGACAGTTTAATAAAAGTGGAGATACTGCAGCTTCAAGGAAGAGTAGGGGAGGAAACAGCAGAAGAAACTCTTCCGGAACGCGTGATTCACAGTGGACCTGCGTGGAGAGCGTGGGAGCCCACAGTTCGGGACACCAGCGGCAGACTCAACACACCAGCGCTGGAACGCGAGGTGAGCTGAACCTCAATAGCCCGAGATACCGGCAGACAAGCAGAGAGAGGAGACTAGAGGGAACGACCCCCCCCGGGGGGGGGGGAGTTCACCAGGCTAACTGGAAGAGAGAGAGAGAGAGAAAAAAAGGTGACTGGTATGGACACGGGTTTCTCTCTCTCCGCTCACCTCTCAAGGGTGAGCAAGACAAAGAGCAGGCGCCATCTTGGACATACATCATAAGCAGAGCGACCTCAGGTCTGCACCGGCCCTGAGCCTAGCAGAAAAACCTGACTCTGGGCGGGGCGAATTAACAGGAGATTAGGACCTAGTAAATTTGTGGTGCTACTGAACTGAGACTGTGAAAAAAGAGACGGTGGGGGAGAGAACTCACGGAATCCACGTGAGTACTCTCCAGAGATGCTACAATTCCATAACTTTGGCAACCCAGTGGGAGACTGAAGGAGAATTTGAGCCCACTCTGAGGGCAGAACAGATTCCCTGTGTGGTCCTTGGGAAAGAGCTTCTGATCTCTGGCTCCTGTGGGTATATCATTTGCCTACTAACTACCTCCAACTTCGTTCAGCTGTGCGGAATTACTTCCCTTTTGAATCAAAAAAAGAAAAAAATAGAGAGTGAGGGATCTACCACACCTAACCTGGGAGTGTCACCTTTGGCACACCAAACAGAGCTCTCAGGCCACACCCATCTCAAGCCTCTAAGGCTCCATCAAAAACAGACAGTCCACTTAATCTAGAGTCATAGTATAACAAGAAAAAGCACCACAGTGAAGAAACCAAATATCTCCAATATGCCAAATAACAAACGCAAAAACCGAGGTAATAAAAACGAGGAAGTCACCATGGTGCCCCCAAATGAAAAAGACACCCCAATTCAAGATTATGAAGATGATGAGTTAGAAGAAATGCAAGAAGCAGATCTCAAAAAATTGATAAGAACATTAAGAAATTCTCAAAAACAAATTCTTGAACTACAGAAATCCTTAATGGACAAGATAGAAATTCTCTCTCGTGAAAATGAAATATTAAGGAGGAATCAAAATGAAACGAAACAACTAGTACAACAGGAAACTGTGATAGTGACGAGAAATCATAATGAAGTGAAGAATTCAATAGATCAAATGAAAAACACAATAGAGAGCGTTACAAACAGAATGGGTGAAGCAGAAGAGAGAATATCGGACTTAGAAGACAGAGAACAGGAAAGGATACAGTCAGACCGAAGAAAAGAAGAGGAAATTAGAAATCTAAAACATATTGTCAGGAATCTTCAGGATACTATTAAAAAACCCAACATTCGGGTTCTAGGAGTTCCTGAAGGCATGGAGAGGGAGAAAGGATTAGAAGGCCTTTTTAGTGAGATATTAGCAGAAAATTTCCCAGGTTTGGAGAAGGACAGAGACATCCTAGTATAGGAAGCTCACAGAACCCCTAATAAACACGACCAAAAGAGATCCTCACCACGACACGTTGTAATTAAACTCTCCACAGTGAAACATAAAGAAAAGATCCTAAAATGTGCAAGAGAGAAACGTCAGATTACTCTCAGAGGATCTCCAATCAGACTCACAGCTGACTTCTCATCAGAAACCCTACAAGCTAGGAGGGAATGGTGAGATATAGCCCAGGTACTAAGAAAGAAAAACTGCCAGCCCAGAATATTATATCCTGCAAAGCTATCATTTGTGAATGAAGGTGAAATAAAGACTTTTCATAGCAAACAGAAATTGAAAGAATTTGTCACCACACGTCCAGCCCTGCAAAAGATGCTTAAAGATGTGTTACACACAGAAACACAGAAACACGGTCATCAATATGAAAGAAGGTAAAGGAAGGAAACCTCACAGCAAAAGATCACAGGGAATTCAAAGCATATATTAGAACTTACCTTTGGCAAATGGCAGGGCAAAGTTACCACTTATCATTAGTCACATTGAACGTGAATGGCCTGAACTGTCCAGTTAAAAGACACCGATTGGCTGATTGGGTTAAGGAACAAAACCCATCTATTTGCTGCTTACAAGAAACACATCTTTCCAACAAAGATCCATACAGACTGAAAGTGAAAGGCTGGAAAAAGATATACCATGCCAACAGAAATGAAAAAAGAGCGGGCGTAGCCATCTTAATATCGGACAACATAAACTTTACCACAAAAACTGTTAAGAGAGACAAAGAGGGACAAGAAAGGCATTATGTAATGATCAATACAACAAGAAGATATAACATGTGACTATAATAAATGAATATGCACGCTGGGCACCCAGATATTTAAAACAAATGTTAATGGACCTAAAGTGAGATATAGACTCCAATACAATAATAATGGGGGACTTCAACACCCCACTCTCAGAAATAGACAGATCAATAGGACAGGAGATCAACAAGGATACAGTAGATTTAAACAACACTATAGCCCAAATGGATCTAACAGATATA